TATCTCCTTTGTTATGTCCATTCATCCACTTGTAAACCTCTATCATGTCACCCCTAACTCTTCGCCTTTCCAGTGAATGCAACTTAAGCTTTGTTAATCTTTCTTCATATGAAAGATTTCTAATTTGGGGAATTAACTTAGTCATCCTACGCTGGACACGTTCAAGTGAATTTATATCCATTCTATAGTACGGCGACCAAAACTGAACTGCATAATCTAAATGGGGCCTAACCAGAGCAAGATATAGCTTAAGAACCACACCAGGTGTCTTGTTACTAACGCTTCGATTAATAAATCCCAGTGTCCTATTCGCCTTATTACGAACATTCATGCATTGATAAGTTTGTTTTAAATTCTTACTAATCATAACTCCCAGATCCCTTTCCGCAATGGTGACTTCGCAATCTTTCAAGCGCGGGTTGGACAAATCTATGAGTCGGATTGGGTGTTATAGATAGGAGCTGCCTCGTAAGAACATAAGAACATAAGAACATAAGAACAAAGGTAACTGCAGAAGGCCTATTGGCCCATACGAGGCAGCTCCTATTCTATAACCACCCAATCCCACTCATATACTTGTCCAACCCGTGCTTGAAACAATCGAGGGACCCCACCTCCACAATGTTACGCGGCAATTGGTTCCACAAATCAACAACCCTGTTACTGAACCAGTATTTACCCAAGTCTTTCCTAAATCTAAACTTATCCAATTTATATCCATTGTTTCGTGTTCTGTCCTGTGTTGATACTTTTAATACCCTATTAATATCCCCCCGGTTATGTCCATTCATCCACTTGTAAACCTCTATCATGTCACCCCTAACTCTTCGCCTTTCCAGTGAATGCAACTTAAGCTTTGTTAATCTTTCTTCATATGAAAGATTTCTAATTTGGGGAATTAACTTAGTCATCCTACGCTGGACACGTTCAAGTGAATTTATATCCATTCTATAATATGGCGACCAAAACTGAACTGCATAATCTAAATGGGGCCTAACTAGAGCAAGATATAGCTTGAGAACCACACCAGGTGTCTTGTTACTAACGCTGCGATTAATAAATCCAAGTGTCCGATTTGCCTTATTACGAACATTTATGCATTGATCCTTTTGTTTTAAATTCTTACTAATCATAACTCCCAGATCCCTTTCGCAATCCGACTTCGCAATCACAACACCATCTAGCTCGTATCTTGTAACTCTATCATCATTACCTAACCTCAGAACTTTACATTTATCAGCATTAAACTGCATCTGCCAATCCTTTGACCATTTCAAAACCCTATCTAGATCAACTTGAAGTGATAGTGAGTCCTCCTCCGAATTAATTTCCCTACCGATTTTCGTATCATCGGCAAATTTGCAAATGTTGCTACTCAAACCTGAATCTAAATCATTTATATATATTATAAACAACAGAGGTCCCAGGACAGAGCCTTGAGGCACTCCACTTACAACATTTTCCCACTCTGACTTGATTCCATTTATACTAACTCTCTGTTTCCTTTGGTATAGCCATGCCCTAATCCAGCTTAATATAGCACCCCCAATACCATGAGACTCTATTTTTTTAATCAGTCTTTCATGTGGCACTGTATCAAAAGCTTTGCTAAAGTCAAGGTATACAACATCGCAATCCTTACCACTATCAACTGCCTCAACAATGCTAGAATAAAAAGATAACAAATTTGTTAAACATGAACGGCCATTTATAAAACCATGTTGCGACTCAATTATTAATTTATGTTTTTCAAGATGAAGACGAATTTTATTTGCTATTATAGATTCGAGTAACTTTCCCACAATAGACGTTAGGCTAATTGGTCGATAGTTAGACGCAAGTGATCTATCTCCTTTCTTAAAAACTGGTATCACATTAGCAACTTTCCAAAACTCTGGCACTCTGCCTGACTCTATTGATTTATTAAATATGGTTGACAGTGGGTCACAAAGCTCCTCTTTGCATTCTTTAAGCACCCTAGCAAACACTTCATCCGGCCCTGGGGATTTGTTTGGTTTGAGTTTTACTATTTGTTTAAGAACATCCTCCCTGGTAACTGCTAAACTCGTCAACCTGTCCTCGTCCCCACCCACATAGACTTGTTCGGCTGAAGGCATATTGTTAAGTTCCTCTTTAGTAAATACAGATACAAAATATTTATTAAAAATACTACTCATCTCTTCATCACTATCTGTTATTTGACCTGTCTCAGTTTTTAATGGACCTATCCTTTCCCTAGTCTTAGTACGATATAACTGAAAAAACCCTTTAGGATTTGTCTTTGCTTGCCCTGCTATGCGAACTTCATAGTTTCTTTTTGCTTTCCTTATCTCTTTTTTAACATTTCTAACCAGTTGTACGAATTCCTGTTCTAAAGTGACCTCCCCATTTTTAATCCTTTTGTACCAACATCGAAATCCCCATTTAAGTCACCTATCGCTGACTTAAATGGGCCTTAATGAAAAAACTTAATGACTTCATCATTACCTAGCCTCAGAACTTTACATTTATCAGCATTAAACTGCATTTGCCAATCCTTTGACCATTTCAAAACCCTATCTAGATCAAGTTGAAGTGATAGTGAGTCCTCCTCCGAATTAATTTCCCAACCGATTTTCGTATCATCGGCAAATTTGCAAATGTTGCTACTCAAACCTGAGTCTAAATCATTTATATATATATTATAAACAACAGAGGTCCCAGGACAGAGCCCTGAGGTACTCCACTAACATAATTATCCCACTCTGACTTAACCCCATTTATACTAACTCTCTGTTTCCTTTGGAATAGCCATGCCCTAATCCAACTTAATATAGCACCCCCAATACCATGAGCTTCTATTTTTTTAATTAGTCTTTCATGTGGCACTGTATCAAAAGCTTTGCTAAAGTCAAGGTACACAACATCACAATCCTTACTACTATCAACTGCCTCAACTATGCTAGAATAAAAAGTTAGCAAATTTGTTAAACATGAACGGCCATTTGTAAAACCATGTTGCGACTCATTTATTAATTTATGTTTTTCAAGATGGAGACGAATTGTATTTGCAATTATTGATTCAAGTAACTTTCCCACAATAGACGTTAGGCTAATTGGCCGATAGTTTGACGCAGGTGATCTATCTCCTTTCTTAAAAATTGGTACCACTATAGCTACCTTCCATGACTCTGGCACTCTGCCTGACTCTATTGATTTATTAAATATGGTAGACAGTGGCTCGGAAAGCTCCTCTTTGCATTCTTTAAGCACCCTGGCAAACACTTCATCCGGCCCTGTGGATTTGTTTGGTTTTAGTTTTTCTAATTGTTTAATTACATCCTCCCTGGTAACTGCTAAACTAGTCAACCTGTCCTCATCCCCACCCACATAGACTTGTTCGGCTGAAGGCATATTGTTAAGTTCTTCTTTAGTAAATACAGATATAAAATATTTGTTAAAAATACTACTCATCTCCTTGTCATTATCCGTTATTTGACCTGTCTCAGATTTTAATGGACCTATCCTTTCCCTAGTCTTAGTTCGATATAACTGAAAAAACCCTTTAGGATTTGACTTTGCTTGCTCTGCTATGCGAACTTCATAGTTTCTTTTTGCTTTCCTAATCTTTTTCAACATTTCTAACCAGTTGTATGAATTCCTGTTCTAACCTGACTTCCCCATTCTTAATCCTTTTGTACCAAGCTCTCTTTTTACCTATAAGGTTCTTTAAATTATTTGTTATCCACTTTGGGTCATTAGTATTCGATCTATTCAATTTGTATGGTATACTACGTTCCTGTGCTTTGTTTAGAATATTCTTAAATAAGTTATATATTGAATCCACATCGAAATCCCCTTTTACGTCACCTATCGCTGGGTTCATGTCTCGCTCCAAGACAGGCCCACACCCCATACCCAAGACTTTCCAATCTATTTGACCCAAAAAATTTCTTAGGCTATTAAAATCAGCTTTAAAATCAGCGTATCAAAAGCTTTGCTAAAGTCAAGGTACACAACATCGCAATCCTTACCACTATCAACTGCCTCAACAATGCTAGAATAAAAAGATAACAAATTTGTTAAACATGAACGGTCATTTATAAAACCATGTTGCGATTCAATTATTAATTTATGTTTTTCATAAAGGGGTTTATAGCAGCAGGGGTTTATAGGTGCAGGGGATTATAAGGGCAGGAGGTTAATAGGCTCGTGGGGTTTATAGGAATAGGGATTTACAGGGGCAGGGGGGTTTTATATGATCAGGGGGGTTTATTGGGGCCGGGGCTTACAGGGGCAGGGTGTTTATAGGAGCAGGGGATTATAGGGGCAAAGGGGTTTATATTGGGAAGGGATTATAGGGGCCGGGGGTTTATAGGGGCAGAGGTTTATAGGAGCTGGGAGTTTATAGGGGCAGAGGTTTATAGGGCAGAAGGTTTATAGGGGCAGGGGTTTATAGGGGAAGCGGTTTATAGGAACAGAGGGTTTATAGGGGCAGGGGTTTATAGGGGCAGGGGTTTATAGGGGCAGGGGTTTATAGGGGCAGGGGTTTATAAGAGCAGGGGTTTATAGGGCCAGGGGTTTATAGGGGCAGGAGTTTATAGGAGCAGGAGTTTATAGGAGCAGGGGTTTATAGGGGCAGGGGCTTAATGAGCAGGGGTTTATTTTCGTTCAGCTCAATTTATACTTTAAGCTCAATTACTGTTACGTTTTAGTCTAAGTGTTTTTTCCCCACCTCACGTTGCCCGAAACGCTATGCGTACTAGTGGCTTTAGGTATTGTATGTACTAGCTCTATCTATAAGTCCTACATTATGTTTGTAACTAATCCTCTATTTTACCTGAATAAACATTTGATTTGATTTGATTGAAATTCAAATGTTTATAATCTATTCAAATTCAATAGGATAGGTTACAATCTCTCAGTTACTGCCTACAGTTAGCAAACTGTGGATATTTGGCTAAGATTTATGGTAGCAGATCATTTTGAATGAAATATTTACACTCCCGTCAGTACTTGCAACCTAATGAGTGGAGAGGGAGAGCCGAGTAAGAAGCGACCAACACCAGTCCCACGCCGGCCGCCATAACGGTCGGGTGTTGTTGCTGTCCTCCTACCCCTCTCGTACACCTCCCCCGGCCCCACACACACACATTAGGTAATATATTCAAATACAAATACAAATTTTTATTCAGGTAAAGTACATACATACAAGGTAAGATACAAAAGTTGATGGATTTATAGATAGAACTAGTACATTATCTATTCAAATTCATATGTTTATTCAGGTAAAAATACAAACAAAGATGAATAACAAACATAATGATGGATTTATAGATAGAGCTAGTACATACAATACCTAAAGCCACTATTACGCAAAGCGTTTCGGCCAGGAAAAACACTTAAGACTAAATACTAATTGAGATTAAAGTATAAATTGTGTTGAAAAAGGAAAAAAAGGGGGCTTACATGGCAGAAATCAGCAGTTATAGAAGTTGGTCAACAAACAGTATTGTTTAAAATAGCAAGACCTGAGTCGACATTTAGGGGTAAGGAAGGTTACATGGAGTTAATTAGGTAGTACTTAATTTTCATCTTAAACTGGTTGAGAGAGGTACAGCCTTTGACATGATTGGGAAGGTCATTCCACATTCTGAGTCCCTTGATTTGTAGAGCATTTCTAGTTTGATTAAGGCGTACTCGTGGAATATCAAATAGGTATTTGTTTCTGGTGTGGTACCCATGGGTTCTGTTACAACCTTCTAAGAAGCTTTTAAGGTCAGGATAGACATTACAATTCAGAGTTTTAAATATATAGAGTACACAAGAGAGGATGTGCAGTGACTTAATATCTAACATATTCAGAGATTTGAGTAAGGGTACCAAGTGCTGTCTGGGGCCAGAGTGAGATATTGTTCTACCAGAAGCTTTGTGTTGGGTAATTAGAGGACGTAAATGATTCTGGGTAGTAGAACCCCAAGCATAAATACCATAGTTGAGATAAGGATAGATGAGAGAGTAATAGTGTCACGAGGGCAGGGCGAGGAACATAATATCTGATCTTAGAAAGAATGCCAACAGTTTTTAGAAACTTTTTTTACTATATTTAGAATGTGTCCCTGGAAATTCAGCTTGTTATCGATGAGGACACCAAGGAATTTACCATCAACTTTACTACTAATTTGTATATTGTTTATTCTTAGATTAATTTCATTTGAGGATTTATTACCGAACAAAATATAGAAAGTTTTGTCAATGTTAAAGGTGAGTTTATTAGCAGTTAGCCAAAGGTGGACTTTATTTAGTTAAGTATTCACTATAACATTTAGAGCAAAAGGGTCAGGACTGGAGAAAATGAAAGTTGTCATCAGCAAATAAAATTGGTTTTGAGGTGTTGAGAGGCATTTGGAAGGTCATTAATGTAGTTGAGAAAGAGGAGAGGGCCAATTATGCTGCCCTGTGGAACACCAATGTTGATTCTAATGGGAAAGGCAGCATACTGTTTGCATAATTTTAATTGTTTTCAGATTCTTCCCCGGGACAAGCATCATGGCAAACTTCGGAGTCAAGTCGGCTGGAATAGGAGGGGGAAGCGGTGGTGGTTTTACTTTTGGTGCTCAACCCCTAACAGGTGAATGTTCAGTGTACAGTACTGTTTAAAATCCTAATTGTTTGCTGTTTTCTGTATCCGAGCTGGTATATATCCTACTAGGCTTAGCATTACATTGCATTTTAATTTATTTGTCCTCTGACTTCCTTAACTTTTGGTGTTGTTGCCCTCTGCAAGATTTTGTTGACACACGTTGTATATACAGTAGTACAGTACTTCTGACTCTTGTGTGATTTCATCTCCAGGCACGAGCAACTCTAGTAGTGGTTTCAGCTTTGGACAGCCGCAGACATCATCAGCTGGACCCATTACTAAAAGTTTCTTCTCAACTCCCACGAGCACATCTCCAGCTGGAGGGTTCAGCTTTGGAAACTTTGGTACTGCAACCAGCACACCTGGTATTCAGCCAAGTTAGTGTCTACCAGGCACAGTGAATATTTTCATTACAGTATTATGTTATCTAAAAGTATGATGCAGGCTGTTGATCACAATGCTTCCTAATTAGTAATTGTTAAAATTTCCTGTTTTTTCTTGTAAATAATGGTAGGAACCTGATGCAGATATTATAATTATCAGTCATAATTCAAAAGGTAAGGTCACCTGCTTTTGAATAGTTTCTGGTAGTTGGATATTGGCAATTAAACAAAAAAATACTACATAGACTGGTAGAAAAAAATCACATGTGACATGTGCTTATATTCCAAAAGCAGAGTATACATGTTAATATTGTGGACATTAAAAAATGAACATTTAAGGAAAATATTTGACAAGGACTTGCCCATCAGTGACTACGGGGAAGTGAGGTCTAGCTCCATACCCTGCTTACTAGCCTTGTTGTACCCATTGCATTATAAAGCTTCACTATGTTATCACTATGTTAAAATGTTCATTATGTTAACCACTAGACACTGGAAGCACATGCATGAGAAATTATGAAACAAAAATTTAAAAGTGTGTTTATTTACATAAAAAAATTGTCTGCCAAATTTATAGGCCACAAAATGAGGATTACAGAATTAGTGACCCCCCACCCCAGGGGGGGCCTGACTAACTGATGAATACTTCATATATACCATCAGTGAGGTTTATTATAAAAACAGGTCTTCACCTGGATATCAGAACAGTTACCTGCTTCACAGGGTCAAGAGTATTGTAATAAACCCCAGAACTGGCTTGGCTAAAATACACAAACATTTAAATACTGTACATCCAAAGATAAATGAAAGGGCAGAGGAGCAATATGGCACAGTGAATTAGACACCAACAGTGGTATGGTACCCTTTTACTATAAGTATGAAATAAAATGGTTACACATGTGGGAACAATTATGCACACGACACAGACTATTTAAACATTGTAATCAATTCTGGAATTGACAGTCACAAAACAAGGAATATCAATGACACAGATGCACCCTAGCCACATAAATAAGTTAGCCTAGGACTGCTGTAACAATGAGGGGTCCAAGTTTCTTATACTGTACTTGCATAAGTTATTATGACAATGTAAACATACCCAAAACAAGTACACACAGAACTCTTCACCTACATAACTTTGATAAAGGATGTGTAGGAGCACTAACAGGTATAGACTAGCACCATCGCCTGGAATCAGTTCTGGAGTTCTGGGCTAGTTATCCTGATCACAAGAAAAAATTTAATAGTAGTACAGTATATCGTAGCTAACTAATTGTAACTTACTTATACCACGTCACTGTTAGGATGTAAGCTTCAAAATAGCATCAGCCTGGATTCCAGTAATTTAGCCTCCTCTCCAAAACAGGTCCTTCCCCACACTGCCAACATGCAACAAAACAATGTGGTTGCATTTTTCCTCCCATCCTGTTCCAATATGCCCAACTGGCTTTCAACATTTACATTCTTCTTTATTCTTTTTCAAATGTCTGAGTACACAATTTCCAGCTGTGAGCTGCTCCTTTTCTACATCCTACATTTCTTTTCTACATTCTACATCCTTTTCCAACACAGGATGCTTGCTTTTGACCCTTTTCCATCTCAATGACACATACACCCTGAATATTGTGCATCCATCCAGGGTGCACCCTGAATATTGTGCATGTGTGGTGGCAGATACACAAGAACAGTCCAGGGCAGGAGATTGAAATATATGGCTGTTTTAGAGAATGACTAAGTTCTTTGCCCAGTTATGCTAATTATACAGCCTAACCACAGTATAATTGAATTCTATGACAGACCTCTGAACTTAATTTAGTTCATTGCAAATTTTGTGCTATCTAGTATTTGCTTGAATAGTCTTCATGTTGTTTTTCCCAATCTCTCTCCTGTGCTGGGAAATACTTGCATGTTCCAGTGGTCTCCTCAGGCTTAAATTCTATCATAACAAAAATGCTTTGCATGGTATTTGGCAGCTCTCCTTATTCAAACATATGTACATTATTGTAGATCTTTGTTTCTGGTTTTCCTAGTATTGCAACAGTATCTCTTAACATGTATGTCAAGGCCTAATGTGGCCATTCTGTCTGCTGGATCTGTTGCAATATAGTAAGTTGCACCACTACCTTGATGGGACTGTCTCAGGCCTAGAGTTGGCAATGTTGGGCTTTTCTAGAAGATCTGGTATATATATAGTCATATAATTTCCCGTACGGTTAATTGGTGATGGTAAGCCTATTAGGCTTATTGAGATTTTCCCTAGGTCAACTACTGACTTTTCTCTTGACTCCGATTTTCAACTCGACCACTGACTGTTGTAGGTTGCAACATACAACAGCTGCCTAACTCCTGGGTACCTATTTACTACTAAGTGAACAAAGACATCAGTTGAAAAGAAACTTCCCCAGCTGTCTTTCCTGCCCAGAATTTTAACTTGAAATCTTCGGGGGTGTGAGCCAAGGGTATAGACCCCTGGTAATTTTGTATTAGTAGTATAGTGAGTTAGGCCCTAGTGGTTCCTAGAGTTAGATTCTACTGTGTATTCTCCCTATTGCATGACAAGACTATTTGAAAAAAATTGTTGTCATAATAGGGGACACGGTCAATGAAAGCCTAGTGGGTGATGTGTCCTTTGTGAATCCACATGAGCTATGGCACAGGGAGCAGTGTACTGGCTCAGAAAAGAATGTTTCATTTCACTTGACCCCTTATTTCTTTCAGTTGCAGCTGCAACACCTACTCAAAGTGGTTTTAGCTTTGGTGTGACTCCTACAAGTGGTTCAAATATTACATCAACAGCCTCTGCAGGTGGATTCAATTTTGGCACTACACCAACAGGTACTGAAGCTCCTGAACTGTCTTATCTTATCAAATATGAGAGAATAGTCACTTCTGTGTGCAAGAACCTGTATACATGATGTAAATGAAAAAGGAATTTATTATATTGGAGTTTTAATTAGGCTTTTGCCAAAATTTATTTGTAAGCTATATGTACTCTTTTTGTCTGGCATTGGGAGAGGTTATTACTACTAGTTTGATTTTCAGACTTTATTCACTGCCCACCTAGACATTTTAAACTATTAATCATTTACAAAAGAATAAAGGCAGTTTTCAATATGTGGGGGAGTATGTTTTTGAGAGTGTAGACTGAAATGGTTAAAATCAAACTTAGTTATTATGTGCTCTCTTTTGGTTGAATTATATGTGGATGGGGATGGGACAGCTATTAGTTTGAGATCCACCTTGCCCACACACCCTAGGACCATCTCCTCTCCTCCCTTCTTTCTCTACTGTTGGGAGGGCTTATACAGTAGTCAGTTACTCATGTGTACTGGGATTTAGTGTTTTTTCTCAGTGTGGCTTGTGAATGAACTGGCTAGCTGGTTAAATGGGCTACCACTTGATGACAAGAGGGGGGGGTAATAGTAACAATTGTTTACATTGCTATATTCAGTGTTAAAATATTTCCAAGTATGTGCTGGTTTTGAATCTCTGGTTTATTTTTTTTTAATTTTTGTAGATACTCTGGTGGTCTTGTATCAGATGCTGGCCCTGGATCCCGGTAGGTACTAATGAGCCATTTGAGGCCTGGTGTAGTTCCAAAGGGTTTTAATGTTTTCAGATTGTAGCAGTGAAGGTCTGCTAAGGGTCCAGCAGAAAGAGAAATTACATTCAGTGCTGCCTTTTCTCCAGCCAATACCTTTTATTACTGATAAGAATTATTATTTTTTCTTCCATCAGCTACAAGTTCGAGTGGGTTTGGCCTGGTTACCACTCATTCAAGTTCATCTACTGGCTTCACTCTTGGTGGTACAACTCTTGCTCCAGCTTCGTCTTCTGCTACTGGATTTTCCTTGGGAGGATTAGGTACTACACCAGCATCATCATCTGGGTTTTCTTTAGGTGGTTTAGGTGGACCACTGGGTGTATCAGCATCCACTGGATTTTCCCTTGGTGGTGGTGGTGTACAAACAACAAAATCAGCAACATTTGGCTTTGGTAGTAAGTTAACTCTGCCTCAAGTGTGATCCAGTCAATGTTTAAACTACTAGTATTCTTAATGTGCATAAGACTTTAAATAAATATTTTGTATTCATATTGATAAAAGATTTTCAGTCATCTAGGGAAGTGTCACATGTTTGTATTAAACTGTTTGGTATCCCATAATTAGTCTAATTTGTCTTATTCAGGTCCCACTTACACTACTCTACAGCCCACTACATCCCTAACGAGCACGGGTTTGAGTGGTGTAGGAATTGGTCTAGGAGGCGCTCAGCCACCATCTGCTAATGCTGGTATGTATTATACTCAACTACATTAAAGTGAATATAAATATGCTGCCCAATCTCAAATATGCTTCATCCTGTTGGCTTAGAATATAAAATGGTCAAGTTTATGCAAAATTGTCTCGATATTGTGATGGTGTTCCCCCCCTTGTAATTCTCCCACGCCTGCAGTAAGAGTCATGTGTACTTTTCCCAAGCGTTCTCTACGTTGCAGGCTACAATTTGATATATGGGAGAGAGTGAAGTGTTCTCGGAGCCGAGAAATTTGTGAAATAGCAATATTTTGGCCTGTGGTATAGGCCCTTTAGGGAGCCAAGATGGCGCTTGCCTCCCTGATTTCCCGCTAAAACCGTGTGACGTCAGTGGCACCGGATTGGTCACCGACAGCAATGTGGCACCGGGAGCCAATGAAAACCTCCCGTGGCAAAAGTGACGTCACGAAGGAAGGGGGTCCGGCCCGCGAGCCGGGCTGGCGCCAGCAGTCAGACACGACACGTCATAGAGGTCGGACGTGCGACGGTTGGTCCTGTCAGTTGGACAGTTGTTTCCCGCTCCCATGGATTTACGCGTCACCCGAAGTCCGCCAGTACTCTGAGAAGTCTTCCCTAGTTCATGTGTTGAACCAGAAGAGGGAATTGATGGTTATTTGAGCAACAAGTGCTCCAGTCAGGTACTGTGCCAGAAGCAGTGAAGCCGTGCAGTGACGTATGTGACGTCTGTGGCAATTCACCAGTTCGTGACAGCGTAGTGGCAGACAGAGCCACTGGGTAGCTGAGGAAGAGAGGACTATTTGGGGAAACCGGACGACTGTAGCTGAGACGTAGGCGACAGCCGTTGCTGGGAGAAGACGACGGCCAGGAGACCGACTCCAACCTTCAAGAAGGCAAGAAGGAGGACGGACCTGCAGTGAGGAGGCACGGAGACGACGCGCTAAACGGTGGGACGACGAGAGGCTCTGGTAGGACACGACGACGTGTAGTGTGGGGGCGTTCCCGACACGAGGACCAGGAGCTACATCTCGACTCTCATCGGAGGATAGGGTGAAGTAGGTGTTTCTAGTTCCCTCCCCATTCCCCTTTAGTTAGCTATATTATTCGGCTACGTTATCTAGCCTGAGGATTTTATATGTCGTGAGCAAGTCTCACCCATGTCATGGTAAAGCACCAGTGTGCTAGACAGTACTATCAAGAGTACTTGTAATATTTGTGCTGATTATTGGTGTGTACAGGCACCAGGAACAAGTGATAAATTTACTGTGTTGTGTATATCTTTCTATAGATTTTGATATGAACATATAGTGGTAAATTATATATAATATTATGCCAGTATTTGAAAGTTAGGCTGTGTGCCCAGAAATCATTTATTTTCCATGTACTGATATTTGATGTATCTACATTATATATGCTATGTTCATACAGTGATTATTCATTTGTGAGTACAGTGAATTATTGCGTTATTGCCCACGAGAGAAAGTACTGAAAACTCCAGTGTTAATATTTCATAATATATTGTTGGATGAGTAACAGTGTAAAGCCATTACAGTGAGTCATTGTAGCATTGATTGTAGAAAAGACTGTTTGAGCCTGAGTACAGTGTAACTGAGTAATACGGTCTATTTGTGCCAATATCGAGAGTGCGAATTTCTAGTAATATTGGAGAATTTAAAGAAACAGCGCGCGTGAATCTGAAAACAAGCAAAGAGCTTCCGCGCGGGGGCCAGGCGATCAGCTGTTCTTGACACTTGATGAGGAGGGGGAGGTGTTGCCCCCTAGTGATCGCAGACTATTCGTGGGAATTACCGGCCGCGTCAGGATCAATTGATTTATTTGTTGTTGTTTGGCCTTGTGACATCTTTCATACATTTTAAGTAAAATACAAAATTACCTTTGTGTTTTTATCATTCCCTCCATTGATCTTGTGGCTACATTATACTGAAAGCATTGAGTGATAACAATAAGTACCTGCCTGATTCCTGATCTTTTGAGTGTGACCTTGCCAAGGCTACCACTAATTCCACCAGTCCACTGATGGTGTTACTGGCCACCTAAAACACCAGTTGGCGAGCTTGTGGTTAACCGTAGAGCCCGATTGTTGGGGAGGGCACACGACAGTCAAGTGAACGAGTCGTGTTCTCACTCTTTCTTAATAAGAGGCCGTTAAGATTGACTGGGAGACTCTCCTGGCGTGCAGTGGTGCCGTGAGGATCGAGTGAAGACCCGCAGGGCTACGGTGAGTGACCTTGAGCATAACTATTGCTCACCCCAGAGTAAGAGTGAAGAGAGGTGATACCCCAACAATATTTAACAATACTCAATATATCCCATGGCTGCCGACCTTATCGCTTCATTTGATTGTTCCACTGAACAATTTGCACTGAACACAAGCTGTTCGAACCATCCAGGAACTTGGAGTAAGGACCCACTGTACTGGAGTGAGAAATATGTAAGTGTGGACACACAAGTGTGGGCTCTGACACATCCCCATTAGGCAACCACCGGGAGATGCCAGCCACAGGCCAGATTGGGGAGAGTAGAACTCTTGAAATCATCACCAGGTAGTGGAGTGCACGCTGCTGCTTGTTGCAGCCTAAGTGTAATTGAGCAGAGTTAATGTTACTTTTTTATTCCAGATGCCAACAATGCTGGGTCTAAAACTGATGGAAAGTCAACAAGGGATCAACAGATGCCTCAAGATTTATTTGCCACCATAGCCTTGTTTGAGTGAGTTAATAATTCTGTGCAAGTTGCCAATGAAAATATTTACATAGAAAATTTAATAATTTATTTTGTATTGTGGTGGAAAATTATTAGTTCCAACTATATTTTTCATAATTTGTTAATGAACTTCAACTCTTGAATTAACCTCCACTGTATGTAATATATGAAGAAAATAACTTATGATTTGAGGAATGCTAGTAATTTCTTTTATAACAATTTGGGTAAGGCTTGACAAATATGTTCTGGAATTATTTTTATTAATACTCTAATTACTGCTTTGTTAATGGTAACCTATTTCTTAAAAGGTTTTCTGATGTTTCTACTTGGCTTTATTATGGTTACAGTACATTAACTGTAATCCTTGAAGTGCAGCTATTATCAAAGTTATCTCTTTATTTAGTTATACTGTACCAAATTATTTAATTCAATTGTATATAGCTTTCTGCATTATTTTTGGTTTCAAAATTTCAAGCAGTATTTGTCTCTTGATGATCTGTTCCTCAAATACAGAATATTCTTTTTGTAGTAACCTTGTCTGCCCATTTACTGAACAAAATGATATCCACTTCCAGACATAACATAAAACAAATAATTTAACTTGAGTTATTTCCCTTTTTGGGAGGAGCCCCTTGATGCTTCCTGAAGCTATCACACTGATTCAGTGCCAAACAACTATGTCATAAGTTGCGAAGTTCTAGTAGCCTACTGGGGACCATGAGCCAGAACCTGGCCCCTCTCAGTGAGACGCAGGGAGCGGTGGCCCATAAACAGTTTACATTTAATCATGATTGCCACCACCAGGAAAGCAACTTGAAAGTCAGTGAAGCAAAACAGACCACTGCATGGTTAGAACAAGACTTCAGCCTCAAAAGATTGCCAAAAGAACTCCCCCAACAATGAAACCCATCAAAATTTCATGGAACTAGTTTGAGCTAGTTTGCCCCACCTTCCTCCCTTGTTTGGGGGGGAGGGAGGCAGACTGGGTCAGCTGGCCTGTTCCACCCTTATTTCTATTTTGATGGTGTCTGGTTGCTGTCCTAGTCTATCTGGCTCCAGTCTCCCATTTTTCAAAGTGGTGTTTTGCCTTTGAGTCTGTTCTAATACATATTTGTGTAGCATGAGCCAGGAGTTTAGTGTACTTGGAGCTGCATGTGCTCAGGGTTCTCTTTCCTGTGCACTCCTTAAGTGTTACCACTTGCACAATCAGGGTTATCTTCTCAGTGGTGTTTAGAATGCACTTCCTTTAAGGGGGTCTCTTCTTTTAAGGTGGTCCCTGCCTTTCAGGTAAGCCAGTAATCTTTGACTGTCTTTCCTCTGGTTGTGAGTTGCGAGTGTTTTTGGCTGGGTGGTGGTGCACTGTTGTTTGTGTGTCCAGTTAAGTAAATTTTTATACCTAATTCACCCAAATCTTTAGTACTAAACTATGTACAAGTTATTGCTTACCTTTATTGATGACTTGTTGGCATATGGAAGACTGTGAGGAGGGGGGGGGGAGGAGGAGAGGTGTTTGGAAGGGGAGTCCCCATCCATTATAACATCAGGCAGTGATTGTTTTTCTTTTTTAAATTTTTTCAAAATTTTTTTTATTTTTTTATTTTTTTTACTTCATTTTTAGAAAATGAAGCAGCCTACCTTACATCCACTGAACAAACCTTTTAGACTTTTTTTTTTTTTTAACATCAGGCAGTGATGACTTGTGTGGGGTACACACTCTTACGTTTTGCCTGCATACCACTAGGACCTGGTTGTGGTTCACCGCTTGTTTGTCTCGCTAAAAATTTGTCCATGGAGATTTGTTATTCCCTTCGTTTTAACATTTGTCTGTAGATGCATCAGTGTCATTGAAAAGGTTAAGGCAACAGCCTACCGCAGCTTGATTTGGGCGAGTCGTTTCAGCAAAAGTTTGCAGTTCTTCCCATGCTGCTGCACACATTTTCTTAATAAATGAGGAAGGAACATCCTCTACGTCAACAACGCTCATACCAAATTCACATTTATGAATGATCTCTTGTTATTCCTCTGTGGTCATCCTCACACGTGTTTTCTTAGGTTGAACATTACCACTGACTTTCATGGGACCCATGGCGTGATACATAATAATTAGTTTTATGTTCATAAGACAAAAAAAAATAACCAAAATAATGGAATTTCTTACAAGCATGATTGTCACTACGCGGGCGGCTCGGGTAAACTGAGGCAGGTTGGCCTGTGCGACCAGGAACCATGCGCTCGGTCGACCCGAATGCGTATCAACGAATATCATTGGTAGACGACACTATCGTAAGTCGAGTCGCATTTTCCAACCAAGTTTACATTGTAACTCGAAAATATTGTAAGTCGAGGTGTCATTGTATAAATTATTTAATTAAATAATTTATTATTTATTTTATTTATTTATTTGAATCACGTTTAACATTCAGTGTTTTGCAGGTCACAACGCAATGCAGAAAATGCAGCCTCGGAGGAAAATATTCGTCAAACGGCAGCCCCATTTCACAAAGTGGGGAAGAAAGCAGAAGAGATCCAACAACTTTTAGCAGAGCTTGCTAGCGAGTATTTACAGTTACATGCAAGCGCTGTTAATCTGAAAGCTGAAGTTATGAAGGTAATTGTTTGTCATTAATTTGTTTAAATAACTTGCAGTGCTGTAAAGACCCTATTCTGAGAAAGTGGCTTATAGTGTGAATTCATATTCAGATCCCCCATAATACAGAACCTTGCATTATGTAAAAAAGAGAAAAAGATGAAAAGAAAAAAAAAAAGATTACATTCCTTATGGTAATACAGGCAATAGGACAATAGTATCAAGTAACTGGCAACTCGTCACATCCACCTAGTGACCTGGGACAAAATGACGGTCAAACACATCCCAGTGGGACTACCTCCCAGTACCATATCTTGAGATAAAAAAAATCTTGAGATGATTTTGGGGCTTTTTTAGTGTCCCCGCGGCCCGGTCCTCGACCAGGCCTCCACCCCCAGGAAGCAGCCCGTGACAGCTGACTAACACCCAGGTACCTATTTTACCGCTAGGTAACAGAGGCATAGGGTGAAAGAAACTCTGCCCATTGTTTCTCGCCGGCGCCCGGAATCGAACCCAGGACCACAGGATCACAAGCCAGCGTGCTGTCCGCTCGGCCGACCGGCTCCCTTTATACAATAAGTACTTGTAGAAAAGATTCAAATACATAAATGTATACATATACTATAGTACAAATAGTAAAATATATACATACAAATGGTAAAATAGTAAAGACAACAAGGAATAAAGACAGTAAATCACAAATAGTTTTCAATTGGGGAGTTCTGTCCACTCGTTTATCTATTTTCGTTGTTTTTAACCAGAATAGGGGTTTGTTTTGTGGCGCCTACCTTTCTGGGTGCCTGTCCCAGTCGATGGCAGATATGGAAGGCTCCAAAATCACATGTGCATTTTATGGGCCATTGCTCCTCGTGCCTCTCTGAGGGGGCCAGGTTCTGGCTCATGGTCCCCAGTAGGCCTAGAACTCCACCCACATCGACTGATGCCAAAGTTAAGGATAGCCATATCAGCCATGGATAGCTCTGGGGAGCCTCCGGGACTTGCCCAGAAAATGGCGTTTCATTACATTCAACGCTGGTTTTTTAACGGAAAATACTTTCCCAAACTTTCGGTGTCACTATGGGTTCCCCCCCCCTCTCCCGTGTTCTTGCCAATCTCTATATGAAATACTTCAAAACCTTTCTTCTTTCCTCTATTGATACTCGTCCCTCTCTCTGGCTTCGCTATGTTGATGACATTTTTGCTTTATGAGCCTAGTCTTTTCCAACCTTTCCTCTCCTTTTAACAATCTGGCTTCTTCTATCAATTTCAAAGTTGATTGGGAATGTAATTACCTCCTTCCTTTTCTTGACGTTCATTTTCGCAGCTGTGTCCGGTTTCTTTTTCTGTCTACCACAAACCCATGCATAGTGGTATGTACATTCACTTTTTTTTTCTACCATTCTACTTCTCTTAAAGAAGTAGAACATGTCGTCGTTTCTTCATCCTCTGGTGTGTGGTTGGTAATCATTTCTTCAGCCACATTACTGTGACTCATCGTCTGCATACCCTTCTATGTACTGTACTGTTCTCTGAAACCTGTATTGTCTCTGGTTTGCTGAAAACCTCATTTTGCACAAACACACTTTTGAACTGTTAATTTAGTGTTTCTCACATTTCCTTTTCATTCTCTGTGTGACTCTGTTCTCCTGTTCTAAACCTTTGGATTCGTCCGCTATCCATTTTTCAGTGTTTCTTTCTGCCGCACTGCCTTTGCCTTCTGGTACCTGGGCAGGAGTGGGTTATAGATTCAATGCTGGTTTTGCCTGTAGCAGGAATTTCATAGAATTATCCTTTTTTATTCTACACCACTGTATTTAGTATTTCATACTTTTCTGTTTCAACCCATTTACCATGTAGGTAGAAAATGAATATAATTTAAAAGTAGGTAATTGTAATGTTAGTATTATAGTGATAACTGCTGAATAATTGTATAATTAATTTAATACTCAAAAACCATTTCACTGCTATGTTGCCAGGAAGCAGAGCACGTAGAAATGGCTCGTCGGACTAAAGACACCCCAATGGCTCTGCAAGGAGAAAATAAAGCTCCTGAAGTTTTCTTCATCAATCTTGTTCGATCCTTTGAAGCAGAGATGATTTACTGTCGCACTAAGATTGAAGAGGTATCTCAGTGCATGCAGGCAGCTAATAATCCTTGTGAAACACCTGAAGGTACACTATTTCCTAAGCTTATTATTTTTTAGAAATTATGTAACCATATCTAACCATTATATACATCCAACAGTCTGATTTTTTAATATTTAAGAGTATGACATTGAATTCCAGATGAAAACAAATACTAGGAAATTTTAATATACTAGTATATATATTGTGAATATATGTATAGTGTACAGTACTTACAAATTACAAATTATTGATATCAAATATGTGAATATGATTTACATTTATTAATTAACTTTGAAAACTAATATTACTCCTTGCAATCTAATAATAATTTGGTCATTAACAAATTTCCATGTATACTGCATTAATAATTGATAATTTAATAAAATAATCATTAACATTAATAATAATTTCATTTAGTAACATTGATAACATTGTCATACAAATTATGTAAAATTAATATACAATAGCCAATCAGAAATCCAATAATTCCTTTGAATAACAAATACCATTTCATGTTTAAATATTATACCAAGCTAAAATTAACTAGTAATGTACATTAATTTAGTTGCCAATAAATTGTTAAATCTGTTTAATGAGGCTTTGTATTGTAAGTCACAAAGAAACTTTACCAACTATAATTAAAATATATTAATTAAAATATATTCTGAGAAGTGTATAGTAAATATTAGCGATTCATTTGGCAAGGTAGGCACATACTGCCTTGTGGCAACAGTTTGCTACAGTTTACCTGGTGGGATCATTTATCAGCTTTCAACTGGATTTATTTATAAGGCATTACATCCTAGTACTGTATAATCAAAGTAATGTTCATTGTATTAAATCTTGGTGCTTGTAATCACTGGCTGGTTGACTAGGACTTTTATTCGTCGCTTTTGCTCAATGGCAGGGATACAACTTTAAGGGTGTATGGTCTATTTAGTTTTATCAATGCTCTGAAATATCTCTTCCCTCTGTATACTGTATATTCAACTTCTATTTTAACTTCCTGGTCACCATCTTCCTCCACTATAGAGTTGAGAGTGAGAGGTATCTCACTACCCATGGCATCACTGAGCACATGGTTCTTCACTGCTATTTTTCTGTTCGAGTTAGATTGGTCTGTTGGAACTTGTAATTCTTGGTCGCTACCCAATAAATATTCCTCCTCATTACTATCGAACTTGTCTTTGTCCAATTGCTCAAGAATTTGAGACATTATCAGAAAAACTTCTCTTCTGTGCGCACACCACATTATGAAGCCAGAGGTGCGTGCATCAGTTGTAGTAATGTCATAAGACTAGTGCCCTAGCAGGATGCCTAGGTATGCAAAGAAAAAATATTAAAGATGGTGGACATCCTCTAGAGGCCAGAGGGGGGCAAATGGCATCCACATAAAAATGGAGGGACATTTGAATATGGCACTGCACCATAAATCATCTCAAGGTGATTTGCACATAGCAGTCAAACACTTGAGAGCAATTGGGGCAACGTTATGGTTAATACACCATTGTTTTAAGTTATTAGCACTGGTCTGGACCTGATGTGTTGGTGTTGGGGGTGTCTTCATTGCTTCTTGTTAAGACTGTTGATTCTTGCTTGGACATATGAAATGAAAGTTACACTTCCATATTTTGAATGTCCTTCCACATAAATAATTGTTTTTCTAGGTCTTTGTTCATATAATCTTGTTCATTTTGTTGTGGTATTAATTAGTTTTGTGTTGAGCTGGATATGGTATTGCACCATTGTCTTGTATTCATTCCATATTTTCTTAAAACAGAGAGAGAGAGAGAAAAATGTAGAGATTCTTCTGTTATAACTGTCTTTACTCAAAGGACTATTTTAGCAAGATTTATACAGTATAATTTTTAGTATAACTACTAGTAGAGTATAACAACTAGGCACGCAATATATATATAGTACATTTTAACAAATCCGCAAGGGCAGTGATGAGGGTTCGAACCTACGTCAAATAGTGATTTCTGTGTATATAGTACATTTTCTTGTCAATTTTGATTTTCCTTATAAATTTATCTTTAATATAGATATAGCGGAAGTGCTGCAACGCGAGCATGAAACTTTGAAAGAAGTGGCTGCAAAAGTTTATTCCAAACATGCACAGCTCTTTGAGCTCAGCCAGTATCTCAACACGAAAGCCATGCCCAATGAGCAAGCATTCTTCCGCCCTCACTCAAAAGAAGATCACAAAACTCCTGCTTCGGCAGTTGTGCGGCCAGTTCTTGGAGGTAGGGCATAACTATTTTGTCTTAATTAACTTAACACTATTACTCCATTTTCCATTTTCTTGGGTTGGAGAATGGTGCTACATAGCCTTCCTGGTTTGGTGCCTTCTTTTGATAATTACTTACTTGTGTTGGAGAAGCATCAGCCTCAAAGAAATCGAGAGCAAATATCCTAAAAGGCATATTGGAGAGCTACATAGAATTAGCACCATCACACACTAGCCATAAATTCACAGCAACGGCATCCCATATTTTATTAATTTTGCCTTTTTCAGGCAAATGTATGATTTTTTAATTGTAGAATGACATTAGGGCAAATATCTAAAATAGGGCACTTGGGTAAAAACAATGTGGGCGAACCTGAATCTCAAAGCAACCCAATCTTGGCCACCAGAGCTAAAGTATCTCCAAACCAATTAAAAGGCCTTCAAAGCATTCCAACATAATGTATATTCCTTTGCACATAAATATCAGATCTTGGTGGTTCCTAAAGAATGAGTCATCAAACATGGGGGTAGCCAATGCTGGCCCTTGGCTATACAGAAGCTCAAAACAAACAAAAAACTGTGTTGTCAAACGGTGAAAACACCACTGAAGTATACTGCCATGCCATGCTGCCACACTTGACAGTAATATATATCTTAATGCTCGGTGGTTCTAACAAGTGCACTAACCACCAAACATTTGGGTGGCCAATGCACGTAGTTTCACTGGTACATGGCCATGTGAACTCTGAGCCTGTATATTCTGGATGTGTTAGAGGAATGTTGAACAATAGGTTAAAAGGAAGGTCAGTATAATATTGACCATAATACAGTATACAAGATGATACAGGTGAAGCTCCTTTATAAATGGGTTGTATGGCTGCCCGGCCAAACATTCAGAATGCAGCAAACTCAGCCAACTATATATTCAGTTAATATATCATTTAAGTATTCAATGTACAAACTAGATTAAGATTTATTATGAAAAGTTCTTTTTTTTATATATATATCTGAACAGACAAAACATTTTTTGGTGAATAGACTGATCACTTTACAAAAGCCTGATTTTTTGGTGTACTTGTTGCAAGAAAAGTTTTTAAATTTTCAATTCAGACTACAGCAGCCTTAACATTTTGCTTCCTCCCTGTTCGTATCCTGATGTATGCCAGCCAGAAAATACCCTTTTAGATTTCCCTGATATGATGAAAACATATGTATTTCTTTCTTTTTGTGCACCAACATTTAAGTGAGATCAGTTGACAATTCTACTCTTCTAAACAATGATCAACTCACTTTCTCCAAACTTGTCACTTTTTATTCCCACACAATTTATTTCTTTGTGAGACACCTTCATCTCTCTACAGTGCAGATGTATCCTGCACATCACTATTATATGACCCAAAGTTCCTACAGATATTCATCTTGCCACTTTTGTATTGCATACTTTGTGTAGCTGTTCTTTCCACATCACACTCGTCACCATTTTGTCACACGAAGTAAGATGATTCTGTACTTTTGTGTAATGTTTAAATTATATTTATATGCAGTATTATATTCATCTTTATTGCACAGCTTCAGACTGCAACTGTTATCATTCATTCCAAGCATACCATTTATAACCATCATCTTAAGGACTCATTCTCATGATAGTGATTTTGTAAATTTTTAGTATTATAAACTTCTTTGTAATGTGCCATATTAATATTGTTACATTGATAACTAGGCAGCAGTAGTGGTCTTCAGGCCTTCCAGGAGCAGCAACAGAGGGCAAAGGCTGTTACACTTGGTGCTGCACCACCTACAATGCCTCTTGCACAGACCACAACACCTTCAATGTTTTAGTAAGTTGACTTTTCCATTAAAGATTTTTGCATCTTTTATCATAATTGTGATTGCTTTATTTATCAGTCAGTTTTAGTTGGTCTGCTTTAAACATTTTGCTCTGCTGTTTAATAATGTAGACCAGATATAAAATTGCAATTAGGTATACCTGGTCGGAATAATTTTGGGTCTTAGTCAGTTTTTCCAATGCTCCTGAAGATGAGATCCATCTTAATATCAGAGAAGTGCGACACTCTACATCGGCTCAACAGGATTCTTTTTAAACATCCTTGTCAGGCCACACTAATTTTAGAGGGGCACTTGGCTTCTGTTTGACCTTGGGTAGGAAGTGGTATCATTTGCTGGTAGGGGTGCAAGGTACTGCGCAGCTTGCTTACCTACGCGGCTGCCGGTTTCTGTTCCTTCTGGAGATGTCCTTTTACAGGGTTTTTCTTTTAATTTTTGCTTTATTGCCTGGAGGGGGTCTGCCTGGTTTGGTTGCTGGTCTACTTCTGTTGTTTGGGTGACCCTCCTCTAGGCACCTATGATTGGACACGTTGCAGGGGTTCAGCTTTAGCCAATTTTCTTGTTAGTTTGGGCCTAACTGGTTTTGCAGTACCTTGCCTGGGCTTCCCATAGCAGTCAGCCTGCGGGTCCTGGAAATCCCCATTGGGGCTCGTTAGACCTATGGTTGCGTCTTCTGAGTTCTACCTCGCCTTGTGCGAGTTTGAAGGTTGCTGTGCGCCCTTCTTAGGGTGACAGTCACCGGTTTTGCCTCTGTCATGTTGCCTGTTGGGTCACCGATACCTTTGACCTGGAGTCTTGAGTGTCATGCTCTCTGCTAGTTCTCTAATATACCTATTCTGATGACATTGATATTCAGGTATAGGCAGCATCCACGTTGCATGCTAGGTTTAGGTTGCTGCAATGCGCTAGGTTGGTTGCCCATCTGGATGCCTCGAGGCTGCAAATATTCCAAAACTAGAAGATTGAAGCAAAATAGTAGATATGATCAACACTTACAAAATATTAACAGGAGTCAATCAAATTGACAGGAATTTCTGAAACCAGCAACTTCAAGAACAAGAGGACACAGATTCAAGCTAACGAAACAAAGGTGCCCAAAAATATTAGATAGTTTTCTTTTGCAAACAGTGTGGTAGAGGGTTGAAACAAGCTAAGTGAGAAGGTGGTAGTGGGCAAAACCATCAGTAGTTTCAAAGCGCTATATGACAGAGTATTGGGAAGACGGGACACCGTGAGTGTAGCTCTCATCCTGTAACTACACTTAGGTAATTACACACATGATGGCAAGGCTCTTCTTACATGTAATCATGAAATGGTGGCAGGATTTTTTATAGGGCAAATTTCATTACATCGACAGAGAGCTATTATATCCATATTTGCATCATACATATAAAACCCAGACAGTAATTGTTCAAACTGTCATATGATGATGACTGCATTCTCTAGTAATATTTATGAAGACCATATTCACCTAGCATGCACAACCTTGAAATGGTAGGAATGGTAGGGTTTTTTTCATGGGTCAAGGTAAACTTCATTACACCCACATAGAGCTATCATATCCATATTTGCATCATTCATTTAAAATCCATACAATAATTGTTTAAATCATCATATGCCAGTAACCACATTACCCTGTGAATCAATGAATGACGATAACAGCTGTCTAATGGTTAACTGAAAACCAGCCATTCAGTTTCTTCCAAATTGAGCCCATTGACTTTCTAAAGCTCAAACTTTTTTATTCGGTCAAGAATTTGACATTTTGCAGAAATTCATTCCAATTTTAATTAGAGATCTGATCTTATAACTTTTTTCAGAATAACATTTCTGGCACCACCTCTGAGCCAAACTCTGATCTCCAATTAACAATTAAGGAGTTAAAGAACCTGAAAATGTTTGAAAAAAAATTCTTGTTGGATTTATATAATCCAAATTTTACTGCACTCCTTTTCAGAGTTTCAGATTATTCTAGGATAAATACAAGATTTCATAGGACTAATCTAATAAACAAATTTGGCTTGAATTTTCCGGGAAATTGGCTACGCATGTGTAGGTTTAGATTCTGAAGGTTCCATTGTTGTGTAGTGAGACAGGTGAATGCAATATAGAAGAAAATTATAAATTGTGAGAATGAATGAGTTACATATTCAGTTCAGTGGAGGAATGTTTGATAACATTCAGGAATGTAGTGGTGGTACAGTACTTGGAGATTTTGGTGAAGTACTTTTAATAAGTGTTTGGAAGATAAGTATTTTTCATTAGTGACTTACGGTTTCTGTATTTTTGCAGCAGCAATTCCAACTCCCCAAGTATGTTCTCTACTGGAGGAACATCCTTTGGTTCAAGTAATTTTAGCCTTGGAGGTACTACAGGCAACACTTCATTTAGCTCAAAACCTCTCTTTGGAAGTACTCCCTCGACCTTTGGGAACACAACAGCTTTCAACACCAATGCTACAGGTATCCAGCAGTCTACTATGCCATTCTCAATCAGCTCACCTTTTAGCTCCAAACCTTTTGGTAAGTACTGCCAATTTTTTTTTTTTTAATGTGGGATTTTGACATTTTCACGGTGTCACCTCATACAATCGGTAGTATAATGATGGTAAATGTAAGTGGTTTTTGCTGGATGACTATTTGCTTTGATTGAGAAATTATGCATAACATTTAAGCACCCTTTTCTTTGCTGGTAGATTATTGACTGGAGGTATTTAGGATGTTGAAATACAGTACTATAATAACTGCGGTTTATTAATTTTATTCTGGTTTAAAATTATATATACAGTATATTCAGACACTTTTCATAATTCCGGATTTTTTGAAGCAACCAAAACTTAAGTGTCCCCAACCATCAAGATATTCTCACCATGTGTTGAATCTCATTTGATCTATCTGTCATTAACTGCTGCTCTCTTCCTATACTTGTCTAAAAAAAATACAACTAAGGCATTTCTCGTACCCAGTGTTGATAGATTTCTTAACTGTATACATTGAAATTCTTGTCAAGATTTATAAATTATTTTCTAGATCTTTACCTGTGTAATTCTGTTGCACACTTGCAAGTCTTCCCTCAGACACAAGCTCCTAAATACTTAACACTTTGCACGGCCCAGCAGGCCCACCTGAAGGTGGGCCTGGCATTTCCCGTGAGTGTGCACCACACTAAAATGTGTACTCTTTCAAGTTTTCTTACCTCAATTTTTGTGCTACGTCGTTCATTTTGGTATCAAATTGTTTGCAATCGAAAGGCACACATTTGGGGACTAATCCCATAATAATCGAACAATAAATGGAATTTTAACAAATATTTAAATTTTATACACAACATGCATCCCCGCTGGACATCCGTAGAGTTATTTATGGATGCATTTCCGACCCCGCCCGCCAAAAGTGTTAATTACTAATCAAAGTTTTTTCACTCATGTCCTCAAACCACCACATAGCTCACACACGTCCTGATACTCATCTGTATTGTTAACTAAATTGTTATTGAGATGCATCTGCCAGTGACAACAGCTGACTCAACAAAATCTACTTCAATCACCACCTCCCAGTGTGGCAAGTGTTATCACTCCAAGTGTCACACCCATTACCTTGTAGTGGTTCAGAGGATCTTTGCCAGCATGGTACATTCTTTGACCAGAATTTTTTTTATAATCAGTCAGGTTGATGGTGCTTAAGGTCTGCGGTCCAGCATAGCTTGATTGATCTGGTAGCACAAGTGTTAGAAATTTATTTTAAAGACTTAAGAGAATCCAGTGAATACTTTTGACATGAGGAGGATGCCTGGTCGACAACCGGGCCGTGGGGACACTAAGCCCTGAAAACACCTCAAGGTACAATTGTAATGCACTGATTTCTCAAATTCCTTGTTGTATGTCACCACAAATGGATATACAGTAATTATTTGATTAACCCTCTAAATGTGGCTATAATGAAAGGTGCTGCTCTGCTTGTACACCAAAAAAAAAAAAAAATTCATTCATTTACTTGGAAAAAATAAAGACAATATAAAAAGTACAAATATCCAAGACTCTGATTTGGTGCACATTAAGAGGAAGCCAAGTGAGGGAATTGTAGGGTCTGTGGACTCCAGGCAATACAGTTTTGACAAGTCATAATGTAGGGGAAAAGGCTGTGATGTTCAAGTTAGATGGTGTGTGTTTGCTGTTTCACTTTAGTTTACACAATGTGTGGAATAATTATGTTTACTCATACAATAATTAACAAAAACAGTGATAGAGTACAGTGTGTTAACCTACAATGTAATATGTACATCAATATTGCGTGTTAAACTGTTCATGGCACAGCTCAAAGGAAGTGTCTTGCAACCCACTTAATGCCACTATTGTCTGCTAAGGTCATCTAGAAGTATTCAACCACCAGTGGGAAACACCAAGTTGTGATTTGACATCAGCAAGCTACTAGTACATAACCTCATTGCATACGAAACAAATAATATTGAGAGCAGAATTTTGTTTATGGGTTTAGGTTAACTGTTGCTTCCTTACAGATATAATACAGCCATATTTACATCATTTGTATAAATATTGGGCAATAACAACTAAAATCAACACAAGATTACCACATTATCCTGGGGAGGGATCAGCATATGACCTTAACCACACTCTTAGGGTTAAAGAAGTGTTTAATATCTTTATGTTCATGTTTGAATTTGTCTAGGATGAGTTAACACAGCCAAACAGGATTTTGTTTAATATCCAGCAATGTAACAATTCCTAGTTAACAATGAATATTCGTGTGCTTAGCTATTCCAATATCTGGCCAAAATATTTGATAGTTGAATCCTTAGTAAACCTTTAGTTAACTTTCTGGAGGTCCCCACATTGTCTTGCTCCTGGAGCTGTCTTGATTGTTATGCAGTGTTTATGGGCCCATTATTCAGAACTGAACCAGACTCGAGTTAATCAATGCATAACATCCACAAAAATTCAGAGAAATTTATTGTTAACACAGTGAGAGAGAACCCATATACTGCCTAAGATGGCCCATATGCTTTAGTTCTCATGGAGTAATGATTGCAGTCCTGTATATGTGTAATGACTATTCTCTAAATTAGTACCTTAGAATATTTTAGGGTCACCTCCCAATGGTTTGTAATTTAATTGTCACATTGGAATGCCTTGGGATATCGCCTTTTCTATGGCAATTGGGTTCGTCTCCCAAGGCTACCCTTCGGTATTAGCAAGGGGGACCAATAATTTTTCCCAAGATGGCTTCTGTTTACTGTAGACCTGAGGAAGATGTGAGCCTTGTGCACTCACGGGAGCTTTAAATCTTAATAGATAATTCAAAATTTTCCCAGACTGTGCCTTGCAGCTTACAAATGATTAATTAGACCATTCCTGATTGTGTCATACAGTTGAAGGGTTAAAGCTGGAAACCTAATTTTGGCAATGGTTCTGCCTTCTGCTATGAGTTACAGGGCAAGTAGGAACCAGTACTTTGGTAGTTGTGATGTCAAAGTGTGGCTTTGAAAGCTCTTATTGCTTGCAAGAGCTTTATAAGTCACATTGCGCTGGATTTTGCTTTTTTCAGTACTTCTGTGGCACTACAGGTATAAGATCTAGTAGGGACATTAGGAAAGGTCTCTGCTGAACTGGTGTTGGATATTGCCTTGCCCTAATTCATGATTACTTGCAATGGAACATTCATTGAGCTTGTGTTACAGCACATCCAAGTGTCTTACTCAGAAAGTAGCTTTTCATATGTACTCAAAGCTTGATTGTCTTTATAAGTTGTAATAATACTTAAACATGACTTGTTGGTATTCAAATTTTTAATAAGCATAAATTATCATCAGTGCTGAGGACGCCTATCGTTAGTGTGATAGATTGTCTACTATAGTTTAGACTCAGAAAATTGATGCCAATATTTCATGTTCTTAATTGTATTTGCTGCAATTTGTGGAAGATGTGTTTTTCTTATCTAATCAGCCAAAATTTAATATAAGTTAGTGTTTTAATTCTTCCTGCAGGTATACTTGATGCTCTTAAGAATATTGAATGTATTTTAGTAAACATTGTATTCCTCCATAAGACACTTAAGACATTGGCCTACTTGACTTGGTCCAATTTTATTTCCCATTGTCTTGTGGGAGAATGCCTAAATTCTTCCATTGCACAAATACATTATGATTCCCAATTAGATTTCCAATGCATGTGTACATTGTTCTTTCTGAATATGATTACAGTACCCCCATATTCAATGTGCACTACTTAATATGCTGCATAATAAGCTTCTTATGGTGACCTATTTATTACATGGCAAGGTCTTTTTACGAGCTATTTTCTTATTTCGGAGGTACAGAACTGTGTTTCTGCAAGCACCTTACAGGCCAGGGTATTTTTACAGGCATCTTGCATGCTAGGGAGTCTGCAACATCTTGCATGCAGGGGGTCTTCCTGCAAACATCTTGAATGCTAGGATCTGTCTGCAAGCATCTTGCATGCAAGGGGTCTTCCAGGAAGCATCTTGCATGCTATGGTCTCTCTGCAGGCATCTTAAATGCTATGGTCTCTCTGCAGGCATCTTGCATGCTATGGTCTCTCTGCAGGCATCTTGCATGCTATGGTCTCTCTGCAAGCATCTTGCATGCTATGGTCTCTCTGCAAGCATCTTGCATGCTGGGGTCTCTGTATGCTATGGTCTCTCTGCAAGCATCTTGCATGCTGGGGTCTCTGCAAGCATCTTACATTCTAGGGTGTCTAGGAAAGCATCTTGCATGCCAGGGTCATTATGCAAGCATCTTTCATGCTAGAGTCTCTGCAAGCTTTTTTCCCCTGCCGGGGTGTTTCTGCAAGCGTTTTCCCTGCTGAGGTCTCTATGCAAGTATCTTCCCTGCCAGGGTCTCTCTCTGCAAGCTTCTTGCATGCCAGGATATCTCTACGGGCAGCTTGCATGCCAGGATCTCTCTACAGGCGGCCTGTATGCCGGGATCTCTCTACGGGCGGCTTGCATGCCGGGATCTCTCTGCGGGTGGCTTGCATGCCGGGATATCTCTACAGGCGGCTTGCATGCCGGAATCTCTCTACGGGCGGCTTGCATGCCGGAATCTCTCTACGGGCGGCTTGCATGCCGGGATCTCTCTACGGGCGGCTTGCATGCCGGGATCTCTCTACGGGCGGCTTGCATGCCGGGATCTCTCTACGGGTGGCTTGCATGCCGGGATCTCTCTACGGGTGGCTTGCATGCCGGGATCTCTCTACGGGTGGCTTGCATGCCGGGATCTCTCTACGGGTGGCTTGCATGCCGGGATCTCTCTACAGGCGGCTTGCATGCCGGAATCTCTCTACGGGCGGCTTGCATGCCGGGATCTCTCTATGGGTGGCTTGCATGCCGGGGTGTCAGCAGACAGCTTGCATGCAGGGTTCTTCTGCAAGATTACTATTTATCGTGCATTTTCTGGCCTTCAATACTTATTCATTTTGTGTATAAATTTTCTTATATGTGTAAGACAAATTTTATACCAAAATCCCCTTTCACTTAAACCAAACTGCTGCAGAGACCCCATAATTATGATTCAATGTATGTTCCTTAGTTAACAAGTTGAATTGCTCTTCTCTTCTTCTTGAATTGATTGCAGCATATTAAATAAGATCTTTGTCAGTAATTTTCGTGCAAAATTATTATTAAGTTTCTTTGCCTCCCAGTTTTCTAGCCATTCAGATTTGGCTTTCTTTTGTTGTCAGTTAAGTTTTTAAGACATGTCTTAAGAGACTATATAATGTACTTGTATTGTATTGTATTTTATGATACTACTTAGAGATGTTGGCTAATGATCAATGAAGACTTCTGTTTAAGGGCCAATTTTTAATACAATACCTTGAAAGTTGAATTGGCAATTCAAAAATATTGCTGAATTTCAAACATTCTATATTTTTTACAATGTGGATTTGGTTGCTGCAGCGTCAGTTAACTGTGTTCCAATTAAACCCAATAACAATTTTGTATTAGTTCTGTGATACACCTCTCTCTAACTCACTGACACTTCTTCTTGACTTGACTTCACATGCGTCATTTGCAGGCTCGTGAGTCCCCGGGGGTCAGAGGCACACGACTGATGTACGCTTGAAGGGATGATCGGAAAGTGAGTGAGAGACTGCTTGCTTGTGGGTTGTCGAAAGATAATCTTGATTCTTTTCATACCGATTTTTTTTTCTGTTGTACACATTTTGCTGTTCACCATATATCATGTACTGTAGTATAAGAGGTGAAAATATTTTTAACAAATTTGGTGGTGTTGAGAAATGATACAGCCCATTGGGCTATTGGGGATTCGTGTGTGTTAGCCAGATCACCATAAAGAATTCTTTGCAAAATATCTCGATCGTTGCTTATCAGGGTTTTATACAATATGATGTAGATGGAAAATGTCACTTGTGTACCAGCTACCTGTTCTTTATTTGGGACAGTATATGAAATGTTAAAGATCAGATGATAAAAGACAAATCCTAAAAAAGGGACTGACTAAAAATGGTTGATACTACTTTGTACAGTTAACCCACTGTATTCTGATTAGTTTTGTGATAGTATTCTAATAGATGCTGTTGGGTCTCTGTAAATGCTAGTTTTCATGTGATGGATCTTATCACTTGTACATTTTTGTCATTAGAGCCCATATTTAACAGGAAAAACAATTTGTGTAATGCTAAAATTATGGCTTGTAGAAAGGAGGATGTTTATAGGTTCAAAGTATAGTTTGGTCAAAGTAAAAATGGATTCCTGAGTACTGTTAATGCAACAGAACATCGAACAGATACCGAAATGCAATGATAGAAAACACACAAACCCAAAAGCATGTACTGTACCAAAATGCTGGCCTGAGATTGATCAGTATTACATGGGCTACTAAACTGACCTTGCAGGAATGTGATGCAGCCAAAATTGTACTTTGTGAATTACTTGTTTTACGTGTGAATTGCCTTTAATCTCCTGACACCCTTAGCATTACAGATTTTATATGCAAACAAATTTTAATGCCAATAAAATTTCCTGTGAATACACACGGTAATAATAATAATAACGTTTGCCAACAGTTGAAGCAGCTTCATGCATCATGGTTAAGCTTTCAATAAATTATCATTTAATATTTCTTTTCAAATTTTAAAACTTAATTTTAATTTCATAGAATTGCTGTTGGCAAAGTTTGTTTGCTCATTCAAAAATTTTTACATAAATACATTTTAAAACACATATGCTATTAATTTTATTATGTTAATTTACCAGTTCTATTTTAAATTATTTTAATAAACTACTGTGACATTACCTTGTTTCCCACCTTAGTACAGTACACATGAATTGGCAGGGAACAAGGCTAGTTGGTGGGAGTTTGTGAAGAGGAAGTGTTTTGGTCCCTTAAAAATCACTGTACACCTTGTCATTTGAAGTGGTGGAGTGTTTCTGTGGATGATTTTTATGGAGTGTGATGGTGCTTGCTTGTGATGCTATATAGTGAATAAGGTGTGGTGAATGTAGAAGTGTAATTTGTTAATATCTTAAATTTTTTCAACTATACTACACCCTATTTTACCTTCCGCCCTCCTCAATGGGAGTAATAATGGTTATGGTCAAAATCTTTAATATCTTTGATGACATGGACCCCCTTAATGGTGCTTCCTGATGTCAGAGGGGACTCTTGTTTGCCGCCCTGTATATTTCCCACTTTTCTTCATCTGGTCGTTGAGTCTGGAGCAACTGGGTTTCCATGGGTGGAGGGCAACACACTTCTTTGGTTGAGCGATCGGGATTAATCGGAAAGCTCGCCCACCCCACACAATACTGTGCTCCACCATATGGCTGCTGCATGAACATTCATGCTGCCGCGAAATTTAAAAGGACGCTCCAATGCGTTAGTACAATGATTTTATGCATGAAGGAGGTACATGGGGACTTGGAAGAATGTTCATATGGATGAATGTTTGCAAGGTGAATGTTCATACATCGGGAACTCCCTGCATATCTGTACATGTTATATTTTCAGTTACTGTATATATAATGAACACCACCTTTGACATCAGTACAAGCTGTTAGCATGAAAAACTAAATAAAGTTAAATACAATTAAAATAAATCAACAAAATTATTCCCATTCCTGTGCTCCATTTCACCTCATTTCTACCAAAAAATGCAGCTTCCCTGGCCATTATAGCTAAACCACAAGAGGTAGAGACTTTATTTGGAATTTTGTACTTCCTGGATGCTAATTAACAATGTCAAAAGAAAAATAATTTTATCAGAACTATTTTTCCTTTTCTCACAATGCAGTTGTCAGCTATTAACAGTTAAGCAGTGCAAGGGTTAAAATATAATAATTTTCAAGAATTTTTTAAAATTCACTACTAAAATTAGTTTTGATGTTTTAGTTCAAAATATTCGCAAGCAAGCAGTTTAGTGCTGCAAAGCTTATCTTGGCATTAATGTAGAAATCTGCATTTTATTGTGTGATCACTTGTGTGGTAAGTACTCCATTACTATAGTATAAGACGTGTTTGTCAGCTAATCATACTTAATTATTTGTATATTTTCTCAGCAGGAGACGACGACATAGATGGGAGACGCAAGAGGCGACTCTAACACCGGTCTGAAGGTTTCAAATACTAGTATACTGTACAGTATGCCTAAATGACAATTGAAAATACAGAATAATTGCTGTGTCTTGAAAGTGTATAATTATCCATAATAAACAATTACCTTTTTATTTACCTAATTTATTGTTCAATATCCTTTTGATCTTTGGTATGCAATTGGATAACATCTGTCTTGTCTATATCAAATTATTTTACAATGTTGCTGCTAATAACTAACTGAAATAACTTAAAGTAAAATGAGCTATATATCTAGTAAACCATTTTCCAAATGATGTTAATGCTCAAACTTTTCATTAGTTTCACTTCCTGGGCTCATTCATCAAGGGCATACCAAGGAGGGTGTGCTTGCAGGGGGTTGAGCATCGGCTCTTTGGCCCCGCCTCTCGGCCATCAATCAACTGTTAATTACCTATGTGTAGTTATAGGATGAGAGCCACACTCATGGTGTCCCATCTTCCCAGTACTTTTTGTTATACAGTGGAACCTCAGTTGACGACTGCCTTAGAAGACAATTTTTTTGGAACACGATGTCAAATTCATTGTAAAATGTGAATTGGTACACGACGGTTTACTTGGAAGATGCCGTCTGTTCGTACGCACATGGGTCGAACGAGCGAACGGCACTGGGGGCGAAGCGCACTCAGTTTGTTTACAAGTGTATCACGCGTAGTGACGACTGCAGCCGTGCTTGAATTCTTTGTGAAGAATTTCATTGTTGCCTGCTTTTTTGCTTTTTTAACAAAAAAGTTCTTATTATGTATCACATCATGGGTCCCAAGGAAGTCAGTGGTAAAGTTCAACCTAAGAAAATAGTTGTGAGAAAGAAGATTAGAGTTAAAACATGAGATCGTTCTTAGTGAATGAATGTGATGTGTCACTACAGAAGTGTTAAAACATAGGAAAAAACAAGTGTCTTTAGACAGATTCTTAGTAAGACAAGCAAGCAGTGAGCCACAACCAGGTCCTAATGGTATGCCTGCAAACGTAAGAGAAAGAGAGAGAGAATACCCCAGAAATGTCATCACTGCTGTTATAATGGTAGGGGACTCCCCTTCCAAACACTAACACCACACCACCACCACCTCCCCCCCCCCCCCCCCCCTCACCGTCTTTCATATGCCAACAAGAGTCCTCATTCAAGATAAGATATACAGTACTTTATTGTAGCTAGTACAAAATGAGTGTTATTTATTATAAAATGTATTTTTAAGTTAATATTTTTGGGTGTGTGGAACAGATTAATTCAATTTACATTATTTCTTATCGGAAAATTTGTTTTGGTTGACATGTCTGGGAATGGATTACAATCGTAAACGAAGGTACCACTATATGTTGCTTTGAAACTACTGATGGCTTTGGCCTCCACCAACTTCTCACTTACCGTATTTGTCAGTGTAAAGGACGCACCCTTGCTTATAATGCACCCCAATTTTACAAGGATATTTTGAGGAAAAAACTATTTTTGTATGTTTCATCATACATTTATTGAAAGACATTTTAAAGGTTATTTTGTGCCCCAACTCTTACCTCCTCTAAGATCAGCTGTATAGTTGTTTATATTTGGCAAGAGAATTGCTATACAGGATATGAAACTTGTATTTCTGGATGTGATGTTTTGTTACCGCATCAGGATGGCACACCTTCACAGTGCTGTGGTTTAGTTGTCATTCATTCATTGCAAAAGGCTTATAGGCAGATGAAAGTTAAACATTCCTTTCAATTTTATAGGTGCATTTTGTATTTAAATAATGAATAAAAGTTTCTTAAAGGTAACACAGTCGTTAAATAATGTATGACATATATCAGGTGTTGGTTATGTATGCTGGGTGAGGTGGCGAGATGTGAGCTCTCCATAACTGCCAACGTATATTGTCGGCAATCCAGGAAATGATGATATTGAAGCCTTACAAAGAGTTCTATATGAACTCCACAAGTGTCAGAAGACTGGCAAATGTTTTTTAATATTGACAAATGCAAGACATGCATGTGGGGCCTTAACAACCCACGCCACAACTTCCAAATTAATAACATTACACTACAGCAGATTGATGAAGAAAAGAGCCTTGGAGTCAAATCCACCATTCGCTGAAAGTTGCACAACAGGTTGGAACAGCAGTCAAAAAAGCTAACCAAACCCTTGTAATAATCAAGCGTACCTTTGGCTTCAAGGAAAAGAAGGTAGTGGTTCAATTGTATAAATCTCGGGTGGGCCCCCATCAAGATTACTGTATCCAAGCATGGAGACCACATCTTCAGAAGGACACAGCTGCTCTGGAAAGGGGGCAACAAAAATCATTCCAGAGCTAAGTCAACTCTTGTGTCAGGAACGGTTGAGGACCACAGGGCTAACAGCACTGCAGACCAGGCATGACTGGGCGAAGCTCATTGAAACTTAAAATACTGAACAATTTAGAATATGATCCTTCAAAAAGTAAGATGTAACACATAATGTAGTAACGGTTTCAAGCTCAGCAAGCCGTAATGTAGGACTGAGAAATGGAGATGCTTTTTCACCTACAGGATTAGAAACCCATGGAACGCCTACCCGCCGATGCCGTAAATGACTAAACTGCGGAATTTCAAAATCCAGCTGGACAGAATCACCAGGACAAATGAGGGTATCTTTGACAAGCCGTCGGCTTCCTATCATCGTCGAGATAACTATATGTAGATATAGTGTGTTCTCAGGTAAATCAGGTTTATTTTTGGTAGGTTTCATTATCTTTTTTTTTGTGATATATACAAGAGTTGTTACATTCTTGTACAGCCACTAGTACGCGTAGCGTTTCGGGCAGGTCCCTGGAATACGATCCCCTGCCGCGAAGAATCGTTTTTTCATCCAAGTACACATTTTACTGTTGCGTTAAACAGAGGCTACAGTTAAGGAATTGCGCCCAGTAAATCCTCCCCGGCCAGGATACGAACCCATGACATAGCGCTCGCGGAACGCCAGGCGAGTGTCTTACCACTACACCACGGAGACTTTGAAGATCTCGTGGGGACTGTTTACTATGTCTTGTACCTTGTATAAAATAAAATATTAGGTTTGTGCATAATATTGGTGTTCTTACATTCTTGCAAAGCTGCTGCCACGGATAGCGTTTTGGGCAGGTTCTTTAATCTAACAGAGAAGGTAAGATTATTAATAGGTAATCTTATCTTAAGATACATTGTAGCAAAAATTTAGTTTAACATAACTACGACATAAATTGATGGAAATAATTATACTGGTGAAGTTGCATGTCCTAAGTACAGTATTAATATTAGGGGAGTGGGTAGCACAATATACTGTGCAAGTTTGAAAGGATAATCTGGCACTGTGGGTAGCAGCACACTGTAGTGTACGTAAGATTAATTACAGAATAACGGAAATTGCTTAGTGTGAAGAAAGCCGGTTAAATAATCGGGCCGAAAATGTATAGAGGAATTTCCAGCTGATGACGTGATGGCGTCTATTAGTCCCGTGAAGATTACGTCACTCAGTAGCTAGCCAGCCGTCGTGGGGGGCGGAGTGTATGTGTGCATTCCTATTTTACTTAAAAATAACCGAGTAAATATAATAAAATACAATTAGAAATCTCAGTGTTCGTAGCTGCAGTTAATTTACAGGTAAGATTAATCTTTGTATATTATATTTTTTAACTGAGATTTGTTCAATTATATAGGTTCACGAGCTGAACCCCAAAAATTCGTTTAGTTAAGAAAGTTACTTAGTTTAATGCAAGACGACCGCGACACACTTCAAGTAATTTAAGTTTGAGGTGAGTTAGTTCAATATAATATATAGCTTACCGATTATGTACCCAACAACCGGCGGCTAGTTTATTGTGCACCCCATACTTATCTTGTGAGTGGTAGCGCAAAAGCATTACAGAGGGCACAAAAAGTCTTTATCAGACCTCATCTTAGATTATTACATAAACAATTTCATCTATCCTTCACACCTTATAGTTACAATGTCAGCTAGTTACAGAGAAAGTGCTATTACAAGCGCTACATTTTTACAGTAAGTCATACATTAATAGAGGGAGGCGGCGGCATTATGAGCGGGGAGTCAGTCAACCAGCGGGCCTACCCTTCACACCCAACTATTTGCCTGCCTTCTTGTACTGACATTTGTAAAATTTGCATATTTGATACATTGTGACTCTTTATCATCCTTAATTGTAAGTGACTCTTTATCGTCTTTGTGTTCAACCCTTTAATACATAAGTTTACATACCCGTAACATGCTCGTGTCTGAAGCTACATACAAATACAACAAAATTATTTATGACAGACAAGGGAACTATTGAGATTATGCGATAAATTTTCGCTCAACCCATAGTTAATGAAGCCAATTTGATCTCTACGTACAATGAAGAAATAGTCTGGACCAGGATTGAACAAGAATTTACGTGACTACTTACGAAACCTGTATATCTTTAATCAGTCATGGCGGCTTTGTATGTATTAAATAGTGTGAGCGAAGCACTACGAGGTTGTTTGTAACAATAATAACCTTGGGTTGTGGAGTTTCCAAGCTCCAGCCCGTCCTTGACTCAAGTCCATTACATCCAGCGGTCGACCCCACAGACAAGTACCACTTGTACTTGTAGGCCCCTCCTAACCACTCTGCAACCCGTTCTCGCAAATTTAATAAGTCTATATTGACTTATTAAATATGTGCATAGGTGACATACTTAACATAATAGTTTCCCTTGAAAAGCTTCATAGAAAACACCGACCTTACCTAACCTACTTAGTATGTTAAGATAAGCATCTTATTGCTTCGTAATTACAATTATTACCTAACCTATACCTATAATAGGTTAAGTAACAATTGTAATTACGAAGCTATAAGATGCTTATTTTAACATACTAAGTAGGTTAGGTAAGGTCGGTGTTTTCTATGAAGCTTTTCAAGGGAAACTATTATGTTTAGTATGTCACCTATGCACGCAACAAATAAGTCAATATTGACTTATTAAATTTGCGAGAACGGGTTGCAACCTGCATACTCCGCCTCCACGCAGGTCGCACACCAAACCTGTGTCAGGTTAGGTTAGGGTCAGTAAGTTTCATTTCTTTGAACTGTAACCTGGGGCTGGTCCTCTCCCCCAGTTCGGTGATGATCTACCTGCACACCTGCTCTAACAAGGTGGTCTCTTATAGACTTACCTCGCCTCCAGGCGATCATGGGAGGGTTTTGTGGGAATTTTACCCAGGATGGATATTCACTGTACGTTTCCCTCATCCATGTCCATACTTCCTGGAGTTTTATCTTAAGCTGTGCTGCAAGACCGGGGAAGAAAAGGGTTGGAAGAATCCATCTCTTGTCTTCCACTTCTTGTGTTCTAGGCCTGAGTAGCTCTGCCCTTGTTTTTTCTCTGAGTTTCTCCTGGGCCGCATGTATTATTGTCTCTGGGTAGTCTCTGTTCCTGAACATATCCCATAGGTCATCAAGCTGGGGATATAGCGTCTCTTCTTTGCTATTAATCCTCTTGAGTCTGAGTCCAAGTGAGTAGGTAGCGATTTCTTCAAGGCTAGTGGGTGGCTCGAGTCAAATTTCAGATACGTGTGAAGGTTAGTCGGTTTATAGTATGCCTTCGTATGCAGATCCCTGGTTAGCTGGTCTATATATACTGTTGTATCTAGGAAATTAATCGTGGAGTCACTGTGTTCGAGGGTAAACTTAAGATTTTCATGAACTGTATTTGACCATGAAAAGAAACCTTCTAGGAGCGGGAAACCGTCCTCCATTATTCCGAAGATATCATCTATGTAACGGAAATATACCGCCGGTCCGTCCTTCCTGTGGGATCGTTTCCTCTCGAACACTACATGCACAAATATTTCAGCGATTGCCACACTACTGGATGCTCCTATCGCTGTACCTTTGGTTTGCCGGTATGCCCGTCCTTCAAATTGCAAAAGGGTGTCTCTCATCACATGGAGGATGGCCTCTTCAAGAGTTTCTTTCGAGGGAGTCTTCCATACTCCTGCGTCTTGAAGTTCCTGTCTAATTTTTGCTCTGTTATCTGTAAAAAAAGAGATTCAGAAATTTATACACGCTGTTCAGTCAAAACGGAAATTTTTTCAAATATAAATTATTATATTAGCATATTGTGCATATATATATATATATATATATGCATAGGTTAGGTTAGATGTTTAGGTTCTGTTGGCGATTATTTGTATTTGTAGTACATGGGTGAAGTATTTGAGTCGAGGACGGGTTGCTAGATTGTAACTTGCTTAGCTAAACGAATTGTGGGGTTCAGTCCCTGAGCCCATTATGTGCCTCTGTAACCCTTTTCACTACCGCCCACAAGATGGGAATGGGGTGCATAATAAATGAACTAAACTTAACTATAAATTCTTCACCCTTGTACTTCAAATACAAATGTTGGACACACGTGGTCGCACATGTGCTGACCTCATTCATCGACTTCATATTGCCAGCACTCAACTTCGCAGCAGTTGTTAGCGTCGACACTACACGCAGATGTGCATCTTCAAGACTCCAACGACCAGACCATCTTGAGCAGCTGCGCTGTACACATCACACTTGATAGCTAGCTCGTGGCCAGTAGATATTTATATTTGACAATAAAACGAAGACAAAGCAAAGCTGTATGTACTGCATTCCTCCCCACTACAAGAGAGCTGCAACTACAACCAAACAACCATTAATACAAATAATCGCCAACAGAGAACCTAAATACCTAACTACATTGAATTTTTATGTATAATATTACTTTATATATGAGAACACACAAATTTGAATACATACAATGTTAGAATTTATAAATGTGTCTGGGGAAGGACGGCCGCTGCTTTAAACAGCCTAGTGTGAGGACTGGTTGCAGAAATGGTTGGGCACCTAATCCCTCTGTTCACCTAGCAAGTAGTAAGTAGGTACGTAGGAGTTTTACTTCTTCTTGATGATACGTGCAGTTTGCACGAAGGGTTTGACCTCCCGATGACTGCACGAGTAAGTCAGCTTGTGGGGTTGCATCTTGGGCGGAAAGGTGCGGGGGAATGAAGGGTGGAATGGGGTTGTGGGAGAGGCAGACTATTCCGGGCACTGCCAAGTACCCTTTCAGTATATCTCTAACTTAAACTGTGACCGTCTTTGTACTGCAGTATATTGTTCCCACAGCAATGAATGGGAACGGAGCCATGAGCATGCCGTACTCTTCACCACCACCTTCATACAGGGAGGCCGTGTCAGAAACTCCTTCATACACGGAGGCCGTGTCAGGCACTCCTTCATACACGGAGGCCGTGTTAGACACCCTCGCCCCTGTTCACAGAATGCAAGTGAGCCACTTGCCCAACGCCACTTCGGCCTCACCAGAAGTGAGCAGTAGTGATCCACCAGGACAGCCGGCCGTAGTATCAAGACAACCACAGTCACTAGCAGCCATTTCCATGCATGAGCACCATTACTGGTGTCCTCCTGGTGCTGAACCTCTATTGGGCGTGCGGGAGGTGCTTGTGTATCCTGGTAAAGGTAAGACATTTCATTACTCTTCTTGGGTGATGCATCATCTTTTGTTTCCCTTGTAGAGGTGAGTTACCTTATTTTCTATGGCGGAGCTATCAGTTGAAGATTGGAACTGATTTCAAGTATAGTAAAAGGCGATGAATTGTAGTCTTTTTACCAGGCCTCATGGTTGACCAGGCTGTTAGACGCTGCTGCACACAGTCTGGCGTAGCTATCAGAATCCGATTGATCACTTGCCCTCTGAAGATATTTATTAAGTTCCCTTTTGAACACCAAAAGAAGTCGATTAGTTATGCCCCTTATATTTAGAGGGGAAGACGTTGAGAAATCTTTGGCTCTTAATGTTCGCAGAATTGTCCCTTGGGAATACTTTATACTTAAACCTCTATTTCTTAATGGGGCTATTATTTACAGTCTACCATACCTCCTGGTCTTGTATGTAATTATTTAAGTGTGCTTTTTTAGAGTTATATATAGTCCCTAAAACATTTCCGGGGTGTAAATATGAATCATAATATACACTTCAAATGGATAATTATGGGCCTAAAGAACTTCAAGGTAAAAAAAAAACCATTTTACAAAATAATTGAAAACTGGGAAATCAGTTTAGATTAACAATTTGTCAAACTGGTTAGAAATGTAAAAATATAAATAAGGAAAATCTATGAACTACGTATAGCAGGGAATGCAAAGACAAATGGTAAATGTATTTGAATTATATAAAATAAAGATTAGGGAAAAGGCAGGGCCATTAAAACTGAGACAGGTCAGGTAACTGGTAATGACAAAGAAATAATTAACACTTTAAGTCAATATATTGTCTATATTTACTAAAGAGCTTAACATTATGTCTTTAGCTGAACAGATCTATAGTGGTGGTGATGTAAACAGGTTGACTAGTTTAGTGGTTACCAGGGAAGACGCTATTAAACAAATAGAAAAATTAAAGCAAAAAAAAAGTCCCCAGGGCCAGTCGAAGTATTTCCCAGGGTGCTTAAAGAGTGTAAATAATGGCTTAGTGATCCCGTATTTTGCATACTTTAATAAATAAATTTGAGTCGAGCAGAGTACCAGAGTCGTGGAAGGTTGCTAATGTTGTACTGGTTTTTAAAAAGGGAGATAAATCACTTGCGTTTAATTATCGACCAAGTAGTTTAACGTCTATTGTAGGAAAATTGCTTAACTTGATAATCGCAAAAGCAAAGTTGGCTACATCTTAAAAAACATAATTAATTAATCATTCATCACGTGGTTTTATTAAGAGCCATTCATGTTTCATACATTTGCTTTCATCCTATTCCAGCATATTTGAGGCAGTTAATAGTAGATAGGATTGTGATACTGTGCCTTAAGGTATTACTGATTAGAAAGATAGAGGTTTGTGGTATTAGGGTGCTATCTTAAGTTGGATAAGGGCATTCCCAGCTCGCCCGCTGTGCACTACACACTCACTGTAAAAGGGGGTTGTTTGGGTTTAAACTGTTAGTAGATACTGTAGTGGTATGGGAATGGATATGGGAAGAGGAGGCAATAAAAGTATGTGTTGGGGGGAGGGGGGGAAATTGATAAAAGGAATAGGGAAGGAGAAGGGCCTCAAAATATCAATACACTTACGGTATATTACACAAACAGTATGAGTCTAAGAAACAAAATAAACTATTTAAGTGCTCTTGTCTGCACATAAATAATAAATATTATCGTAATTACCAAAACGTGGATAAATATAGAAACAAGGGAACTATTAGCTGAATATCAAATTAACGGATTTAAACTTTCATACATAAATACATATTAGACGAGGAGGGGGAGTTGCTATATATGTCACGAGATAATTTGATATGTAGTATCAAAGAGGGAATCAAAACTGAGCCCCACACAGAAACTATTTGGTTAGAATTAAGCGAAAAGCAAAAAATCTTATGAGTTATATACAGGCCACCAAACTTAGAATGGAAGCAAAACATCAATGGGATGAAATATCTAGAGCATCTAGGTCAAACAGTATTTGTTATAGGTGACTTTAATTTTAGTAGAATAAACTGGCTTTACAGAACAAGGAATACCGAATTCGAAGATATTTTAGATTTGACGATTGCTTCCTTAAGCAACACATTAAGGAACCAACGCGGAAAAATAATATTTTAGACTTAGTATTAACTAACAGGGACACAGATTAAATGATATCGAAATAAGGAGTGAGCTAGGAACAGTGATCACAAGGAAATTAGATTTAGCATAGAATGGAATAGATGTGTAAGAGAGAATTCTGTTAAAGTGCCAGATTTCCGAAAAGCTTATTTTAATGGACTAAGCTATTTCTTTGGTGGAATAGATTGGACAGACGTGTTGGCATGGACCCAAGTGTAGTAGTACACACACGTTTTATAGAATATTTTCTGCTAGGATAGGACTCAAGTAGCCTTTATTGTCCTAAAGTCAGCTTTCCATGTAGCCAACGGTGAAATTAGAACAACTTTCTGAATTTGAAATTAAATGTAATCTGTGTTGGATAAAGAACTATCTGTCCAACAGGCCTGCTAGTGTCCTATTTAAAGGAGGTAAAATTGCGACTGCATTTGAACTAGGCACACATCAAGGTGGTGTATTAAGCCTATGCTCTTTAATATATTTATCCACAAACTTATCCATGACATGCCTAATGAAACTGTTATATGTTATGTTGATGATATTTGTATTATGCATACAGTAAACCAAGACTACAAGCATTACTTGAGACTTTCTAAGAAAATAGTAGAATGTTGCCTCATAATCTTTGTTGATACAAGGGTTCTTATTCCTTATTCTCTTCATCATGATAACTATACTATTAATTAATGGAGTGCCCGGGGAGCCTTGAGTCTTATAAATATCACGGAATCGAGGTCAATGATACACATTTCATCAGTAACCTTCGGAAAAAACGTGTTGAGCGTCTTAAATCTCTCAAAACTCTTGTGGGTCAAGGATTTGTCATTAACATATTATATGTTCGTGGCTTATATATTGCCTTTATACGATCTGTTGTTGATTATTATACCTTACATCTTGCTAATTGTTATCCTAAATTTACAATTACACAACTAAGATGTAGTATAAAATGATGCCCTTTGCATCATCCTGGGTTGTCCTTGAACTGTCAGAATTGTTAACGTGAGAAATAAACTAAGACTACCCTCCATTTATGAGAGAATAGTTCTACTTAATACTATGTTTTGTGCCTAAATTTTGAAAAATAATGATCCAGCAATATTTAAATTAAATTTAGATTCATTCTAATCAACTCTGTTCCCTCAATCCTCCACAAAATAATCCTTACAATGTGTGGTTCAGTTGTTGTGCCAATAATCTCGTGAAACTTAATGTATCTCTTAAACATGATAAAATTATTAACTATATTTCCCCTTAGATATGTGCAGGTCTCTATACATTATACACCCATCAGTGTAAAGCAGACCTATAACACAAACTATGAGGTCCACAACACTAGAAGCTTTTAACAGTTATTTTCAAAATCTCAAACCAACTGAATTCTATGCCTTTACTGATGGTTCTATGCAATTGGGCACAGTTTGAGCAGGTTGCGCGTGTGTAGTATATAACGCAAATGAACTGATCACGTTTAATATGCAGAGATTAAGCGACTGGGCACACAACACAAGACTGAGCTATTGGGTATTTATCTAGCCACTTGAGTACCTTAAGTACCTTGAGTACCTTAAGGTCAATGGGTGTGGAATGGTATTTTGTGACTAAAAGTGTTCTACAGTCTTTAAATAATCCATCACAATTAATGTCTGAAAAAGCTTATAATATTAAATGGATTTTGCTTTTTGCCAATGCTGATAACTTTAGTATACAATCTTATGGATCCCATCCCATGTTGGGGCTGGAAAGCATGATTTTGTAGAACGATTGGCTAATGAAGCTTGCAGGAAAGAAATCAGACTATAACTTTCAATCATCTAATGCAATTATTAAAAAACATACAAATTAAGGAGATTACTTCAGGTTTGGAAGAACAAAGAAATGGCCAAAGACCTGAATGCTGAAGTATTAAAAGTTTTGACAACTTTTGTGTATGGTCAGCAGGGTAATCGGTCAGGCAATGTGATGTAGTCGATGTGGTAATATACCTTGGCTATAGGCCACTGGCAAGTTAGTGAGGCTGAGCCACTACCACAATATTCGGCTTGTAAACTGTGTGACAAACCATTAAATCATTCACTTGAACATTGCACTATTGAATGTGAAACTGTCAAAGATTTTACATCACATTTACTGTTGTACAATCAACTATGTAACTATTTCATTTAATCTGGTATACTGGAAGACATCCTAGCCATTTATCCAAAATTTGCGTGTCCATTATAAACAAATAAAGAACGAGAATTTGATTTATTTACGGTATTATTATATTTTTTTAAGCTGCGTATCTCATGAATCCGTCACTGCCTTGTGTAGACGTGGACAACAGAACGTTGCATTTACACATTCCTAAACTGAAGCATTATTTATGATATCTGACGTAGTAGTGTGTAGCCTCATGAAATGTGTGTGCGCGTCAGGCTACAATTTAGGCGTGTTGACTGTTGTATGATCCTGTCCTGTGTGGCAGTTAATGCTAGCACCACCTCAGTCCTGTATGTGGCAGTTAATGCTAGCACCACCTCAGTCCTGTATGTGGCAGTTAATGCTAGCACCACCTCACTGTAGCAAGGCCAAGTTTAATTACTCAAATTTGGCAAAATTGTATATTTTTCAGTAATGTTAATAATAATATCTTCATACTGAATTATAACAGTATACTTTGAGTTATAATATTGTCCCTTATACTAATATTACTGGATGTCATACTGAGTTCTAACACTGTACTTTATAAGACTTAGTACTAATTATACTGTACTTTATAAGACCTAGTACTAGTTATACTGAACGTCATAAGACCTTGTACTAATTATACTGTGCTTCATAAGACCTTGTACTAATTATACTGTACTTCATAAGACCTTGTACTAATTATACTGTACTTCACAAGGCCTTGTACTAATAATACTGTACTTCATAATGACTAATATTACTGTACAGTACTTTACAGTGAGTTAAAATATTGTACTTCATACTGAGTTAGAATACTGAACTTCATACTGAGTTAAATACTGTGCCTCATACTGACTAATAATGCTGTACTTCATACAAATAATACTGTACTTCATGCTGAATTTTAATACTTTACTACAAATTGAGTTATTGTACTGTACTTCATGTAGTTGTAATACTGTACTTCATGCTGAAATATAATACTTTACTTCATGTTGAATAATAATGCATACTTCATACTGCATTTATTGTAATCTTGTGAAATAAAGGTCTCTGAGAAAATGTCACCTTCAGTGTTGTATCTAGCAAGGAATTGTTGAGTATGTGTTTAATGAGTGTGTTGCTGCCTCACACGACTGTGTATAACTGTGTAACATGAATGTGTTGCTGTCTCACACAATTGTGTATAATTGTGTAACATGAATGTGTTGCTGCCTCACACAATTGTGTATAACTGTGTAACATGAGTGTGTTGCTACTCCAGGTAGGGTGTACAAGATCAAGGACAGTCTGAAGCAGTTAATATTGACAGCTAAGGAGAAAGAGGAGGGGGAGTGCTGTGACTGCTGCAGTGCAAGTGCCTATCAGAAACGCTACACTCTGAGGACCATAGACTTGCGCGAGGTTGCCCTAATGAGGAGATTTGTCGATTCCATTAACTTCTTCTCTGCTCCAGACAGGGTATGTCACCCAGTGCTTCTTCCTCACTCCCATGTTACTCTATCTACTAGAAAAGTTGAGTGTTTTCCACTGGTGGGCCCTAACATGCACTCTCATTTGCACCACAAGTATTCGCCCAGATCTTCTTAGTGCTGAGTTCTCTAAAATATCTTACGTAACAATCTACGTCACTTCCAGTCAATGAGTCACAAATATGTTGAAGGTTAAGTACACAACACCTGCTGTTATAGGAAATGTTTTAACCCTTCAGTGGTAAGTTTAGTACACATCACCTGTTATAGGAGCCTAACCCCTCAAAAATGATAGTACCAATAGCAGCCATCAGGGCGAACGTACACAAATGAACTCTTGTAGCCAACAAGGTCCATATGTATATACTATTAAATTAATATAAATTTCTCTGGACATGTTGTACCTTCCTGACATGTCTGGATACGTTGTACCTTCCCGAAATGTTAATATACACGAATAAACTTCGTGACAGCAATGTTTCAAGATCCGCTGATCACAAAAATATGTTCTTAATTAAGACCTAATACAGCGTATATTAGGCTTGTGAATTTGTATTTAGGCCTAGGACATGTCCGGCTAGGTTTTAGGTACTGTTCCATTTCCTTGGCTCGCCGTTTGGGCTAATCCAGTACTACAAAAGTGAACTTGTTTTGTGTCCAACAGTCGATTGTTGTACGTTGCTGTAAGAACTATTATTTCTGGAGGACGGGCACTAAGAACAGGACGCTGGTGACTTGTGAAGGGTTTCCCCCCGTGTTTCCTGATCTGTTACAACACTCCGGCGCTGTGCTGCCTTTACGGCCGTGTGGTCCCTGGACGGGTCTCTGGACGTGTCCCACCTTCCCGACGTGTCCCTGGACGTGTCCCACCTTCCCGACGTGTCCATGGACGTATCCCACCTTCCCGACGTGTCCCACCTTCCCGACGTGTCCATGGACGTATCCCACCTTCCCGACGGGTCTCTGGACGTGTCCCACCTTCCCGACGTGTTCCACCTTCCCGACGTGTCCCACCTTCCCGACGTGTCCCTGGACGTGTCCCACCTTCCCAACGTGTCTCTTGACATTTCGTACCTTCCTGACGTGTCTGGACATGCCGTACCTTCCTGACATGTCTGGCTACGTGGTACGTTCCCGAAATGCTTGTAGACATGTCTTGACTTTGTGACAGCAATTTTTCAAGATCCGCTGCTCACAAGATTGATTTCCTCAGTGTTTTATGTTTTAAGACATTTACCTCAGTTCGTATTTTTCAATACTCTTAAAAGATATGAAGTAAGTTGATTAACTAATATAACTTTAATGGTATCTGTGTTAAGTTTTATGTGCAAACATATAAGTTAATTGTATGTTTGCAGCACATGGACATTAAAGTCTTGCCGGATGCACCAATTGGTAGAATACACACACATGGAAATCGCAAGTATACCATCAGTAACACCTCGGGGGATATGTTGTTTACTGTGAAGAGGGAGAGCGGTTTCCTCTCACAACCTCCCTTCCAGGTGAGTCTCAGGTCTTGTGAAGCAAGAGTCCAGGTAAGTCTCAGGTCTTGTGAAGCAAGAGTCCAGGTATGTCTCAGGTCTTGTGAAGCAAGAGTCCAGCTATTTGTTCCAGACCGCTTCAGACACCATAATCAAAACCACATTGCGTCACCCTCCATCACAGCCCACGACTCACTACGATGGCGGGTCCTGTTCAACCCAACACAGCAGTTGGGTTGAATGCTACGGAGAGGCTGGTAGGCTACCACATAACCCGGGCTGTAATAACTAGAAATCCTTAACACACAAGAACCAAAAAGTCAAACATATTCCTTCGTCATCGTCAACTCTCAAAACATTAAACTTTGAGAGAATAGTGCACTATTCACACATTCATTCACATAGACACCTGATACAGTTTATCGAGATAACATTTACAAGAATTTGTAAAACATAGATTACAATGACCTTTAAAAATACATCAGTCTTTTTTAGTACAAATGATCATTTATTTCCAGCAATTTAAAAAGTTTGGACACTAACTTCACCTTGTAATAAATTGTTTATATATGATGTTTAATAACTTCCGGGTTCAAGTGGATGGCCTGGAGCTTACTCGTGTGATCTAACCTGGGAGTTACTGAACACATGTTATAATGTTTTGTACGGCAGATCTTTACAGATGGCGGAGAAGAGATTGGCAACATCAGTTGCGGCCACAGAGGCAAGCACAGGCTTCAGTTCCCCTTAGACCTACAAGTGCAACACAAGCTCCTGCTATTGTGTCTTGCTATTAGTCTAGTAAGTTTTTGTCTTTTATGCTTGGATCACAGACCAGGTGCAAGTTGGGTTTATCTTTTCTGACAGAGAAGTAAAACTTAATATATTTAGAAAGAGTTAAAGTCTCAGCTTCAGTAACAGTCAAGTATTTCTGAGGCTTCTCCATTCTTTGACCTTCCTGGAATGAGTGCTAGGATGACAGGCTCTTAACTTTTATGATCTAATTTGAGTCCCCAATAATACAAGTGATATACTGTATATATATATATATATATATATATATATATATATATATATATATATATATATATATATATATATATATATATATATATATATATATATATATATATAAGAAATATAAAGGGGAAATGCGTGCTGTATCTTGGGTACGCACCCGACCCCCGAGGAACTGGACGAGGTCTTCGAACACTGATTGGTATATTGTTATATAAGTGTGTGTTTTCTGTAAACTGTAACATTGCAATAAAATCAAATAAAAAAATAAATAAATAATAGGGGTGGTAGGAGAGGAAAAGATTAAAGTATTCAGTGAGAATCCACAAGGTCTTCTCTGAACACTATTTATTTTCTTCTTCGAGGATGTGGGTCCCTTTAATTAAACCAGTGGTGGTACCCCTATATATATATATATATATATATATATATATATATATATATATATATATATATATATATATATATATATATATATATATATATATATATGCGAACAAGCCTGAATGGTCCCCAGGACAATATGCAACTGAAAACTCACACCCCAGAAGTGACTCGAACCCATACTCCCAGATGCCACGCAACTGGTATGTACAAGACGCCTTAATCCACTTGACCATCACGACCGGACAAAATGAGGTGATAGCCGAGGCTATTTGAACCACCCCACCGCCGGCACTCGGATAGTAATCTTGGGCATAGCATTTTACCAAACTATCCGAGTGCCGGCGGTGGGGTGGTTCAAATAGCCTCGGCTATCACCTCATTTTGTCCGGTCGTGATGGTCAAGTGGATTAAGGCGTCTTGTACATACCAGTTGCGTGGCATCTGGGAGTATGGGTTCGAGTCACTTCTGGGGTGTGAGTTTTCAGTTGCATATTGTCCTGGGGACCATTCAGGCTTGTTCGCATTTGTGTTCCTCACGTGTGCCCCAAAGAATGAGGTGATTTGGTAAAATGCTATGCCCAAGATTACTATCCGAGTGCCGGCGGTGGGGTGGTTCAAATAGCCTCGGCTATCACCTCATTTTGTCCGGTCGTGATGGTCAAGTGGATTAAGGCGTCTTGTACATACCAGTTGCGTGGCATCTGGGAGTATGGGTTCGAGTCACTTCTGGGGTGTGAGTTTTCAGTTGCATATTGTCCTGGGGACCATTCAGGCTTGTTCGCATTTGTGTTCCTCACGTGTGCCCCAAAGAATGAGGTGATTTGGTAAAATGCTATGCCCAAGATTACTATCCGAGTGCCGGCGGTGGGGTGGTTCAAATAGCCTCGGCTATCACCTCATTTTGTCCGGTCGTGATGGTCAAGTGGATTAAGGCGTCTTGTACATACCAGTTGCGTGGCATCTGGGAGTATGGGTTCGAGTCACTTCTGGGGTGTGAGTTTTCAGTTTGTTAGTTATATATATATATATATATATATATATATATATATATATATATATATATATATATATATATATATATATACAGTATATATATATATAATATTCATAAATTTAAGGAATTTCCTGTCTTAATTCTTCCTTCATGGTCTGACATTGTTCATCACATGTTAATTTCTTCATGATTTACACACACACATTCATATATACATATATATACACACACACACATATTTTACAAGAATAATCACAAAAACTTCCAATTAAGTTATGCAGAAGGATCCATATTTTTTTACACATTTTTGTTCATTAGTAATTTTTTGTTTAAATTGTCAGGGGAAAGCGCCAAGCCATTACAACTTTATAGCACTGGGTGATCATTTAGTAGCTAATAGTATATTGTGAAAGAGACTAACAGCCTGTTTTGTCAGATATTATACAAACACTTGTAATGACCTATAACATGAAGGGAGGAAAATATCTACACCTGTTAAGACATTACCTGAAGTTGGATTAGTAAAATTACATGTGAGTTATTCACTCCAACATTAATAATCTAAAATAGGGTTTTTCTTATCTTACAGCAAGATGATGCGGACGAGAGCAGACGTGATAGCTCAAGTTAGCGAAGAGCATTATCTCAGTTCATTTTTTGGCTTCAGCTACTTCGTGTTTGCTCAACGTCTCTCTTGAGAGAAATGAGAAGAATGTTGTTAATTAGTCGGTTAGTGTATCAGTGTGTGGTACACACTGTACTGAATTTAAACACATTAAGAAAGTCCTATAAATGCATAATAATAGTTCATAATATAATTTCCTATATATACATAATAACATAATATACTTAGTCCAATAATATTAAAGCTCAGTATGTAGCACAGGAGAGCCAGGAAGATTTGGACGCCTTTCAGGAGAGTATTTCTCTAAAACCAGGCATTAAAGACTTCGCATTTGAATAGTAACATACTATTGAAATATATCTTGGCTTCACAAGGTAGACATTTTAAATTACCATATTTATACCAACTGTCAGGAGGCTTCCCCATACCTGGAAAACGTTATAAAGAATTACTTAAATCTAAATGAGTTTGGCTAAATAATAAAGAAGTATTTATATGAGACAACACACTTACTGTGTCAGAAATACTTTTATATTTACAAAAAGTGTTAAATATATTATATATATATATGCATATATTTTATTCCTGTAAGCAGAAAGTTGTTCTTGTAAACTGGATTAGAGACACTCTTAAAGCTTTATGTGGACCAAGTATTAGAGTGGAGTTAATGAGGTTTTTAATGTTTCATATTGACGTAAAATGCAAGAAAATTAAGAATACAATAATTATGTTACTTTCTGATTACATTTTTTGTGTGTGGATAGGCAGGCAGGAAGGGTACTCAGTAGACAAAATATTGAAGGTCTTGCGAGGCAGGATCAGGTATAACATTTGGGGTTTACGGCTCATGCTCGGTGATGATATGGGAAATTTGTTTACTGAGAATTATATAAAATATATTTAAATGTAATAATTTCCCCTGTAAATTAATGTAAATATAATCTCCAATTTTTGTAAATCATTTAAAGAAAAATAAGTATAACATTCAGGGGTTTTAAAGATCATGTTCTGTGATAATGAAACATTTGTTCACTGAGAATTATAATATAGTATTGCCTTGTAAAACTTATGTATATATGATTTATATTCTATTTTCTTAAATAATGATAAAAAAATATATATATATTTTATAAAAGATGAAAATTATCAGAAAATAAACATTGGACTTCAAAACTAAAGATTTATTATACAAAAGATATAGCATTACTTCTAAAAGTCTGAAATGCTGATCAGTAGTAAAGGTGGTATGCGCAGCACAAGTTCCAAATGGAAGGGACACTGGCATCCAGAGGTGTACCAAGCTCCTCAGTGTATATACATCGAGAAATTTAATGCTGAAAAGTATTGAGAACTAAAGTATACTTTGCTGGTTGGTCAGTAATTTAACGTTATGGATTTAACAACCTTTCCGCTGTTGTTAAGCCTTAAGCTAAACACCAAACTAGGTGGTAGTGATGACCCTTCTGGAGGTTGCTGGGAAGGACTGCACCACAGGTGACCTGTACACCTGGGGGTGGGGAGGGCACTGTACTTAATGTAGGTTGTGTGAGGCTTGTGAGACCTAATTTGGGCTGCTCAAGGAGGAGGCACGAGGGAGGTCAAAGTAAGAATATTAGACACAGGTGCGTGGGGTGATTAATGTCAAGAATTACCATCAAACACATCAACCCCCCATTGTTTAAATTAATACTGTACATAAAAATAAGATTTTTTACTTGCTTCACCACCCTGACCTCCCTACACCTTCACCACCCTGACCTCCCTACACCTTCACCACCCTGACCTCCCTACACCTTCACCACCCTGACCTCCCTACACCTTCACCACCCTGACCTCCCTAAAAGAGTTACTTTTTCAACGTCTTTCTGAAGTGAAGAAAAATGTAAGGAAAATATAGAAGATTCGCGCTAGATTTACATTTTTCTTCACTTGACAAAATTACTATTTTAATAATTGCTGTAATGTATAATAATTTTTGCTCTTCCTTCTGCTGGGTCATGAAGGAAGCGGGCCTCGGGTGAAAGGGGACTCGTTCGTCCACCTCCTGAGGGGCGCGCGGCCCAACAGGCTCTGCTTCAGGAGGCTGGGGTCGTTCTTGCCCTTGCTGGGGTGGTTCTTCTCCGGCCCCGACCACGACGGTCTCCGGGTCTGGAGTCCCTGTGCCTTCTTTTACCAACTTCGAGGTCAACTCCGGAGCTGGAGCTCCCGGGGCAGTTCTTCAACCTCGCTCTGACAGTTCCTGCGACAGCGCTGGAACCAATCGTATTGCGTTTGCCTTTCCATTGGAGACTTTCGGCGCCGTGGAGAGGGGGTGACCTGCTGCATGGGTAACAGCTTCTCCCCCGTATCAACCTACCATGGCTTTGCGTCCTGGAGAGGCCACTCCAGACCGACAAGTCGATTGTGGATTTGATAATGGACTTGATTGTGGACTTGATTATTAAGTCGATTGTGGACTTGATAATGGTCCAGGACGGACCGGAACGTCGTCGTCTCTTCAATTTCTAGTGTAGTTTGGTCAACACTACACTCATGAACTGTTTGGCCCTGCTATGTGGCAGTTATGACCCAATATATACCAGTTGTGACTGGGTATAATGTTATAACTTTATTGACGAATTGTACATATGACACCATTTACTTACATATCTTGTATAATAATCGCTATAATGTTATACACTTGCAGGTGTATAGGATTATTGTGTTTATATTTAATATTTCAATGTATTGTTTTGGGTATTATGAATAGCTTGTTTGAATGGCACGCGACCTGACCAGTATGTGTGTGTGTACTCACCTAGTTGAGCTTCGGCTCTTTTTCCCTCCTTCTCAACTGGCGTACAGGTTCCTGAGCCTACTGGGCTCTATCATATATACCCTTGAAACTGTGTATGGAGTCAGCCTCCACCACATCACTTCCTAATGCATTCCATTTGTCAACTACTCTGACACTGAAAAAGATTTATCTAACGTCTCTATGGTTCATTTGGGCACTCAATTTCCACCTGTGTCCCCTAGTGCGTGTGCCCCTTGTGTCAAATAGTCTTTATCTACCCTTTATCCCCTCCCCCCCTAACTCTTCTATGGTTTTGTGTGCGTGCATTTGTGTGTTTGCGTCTCGTGCTTCAGGGCAGCCAACCCTTGCAGGGGTGAACTGCACATAATTATTAAACTACTGTTGTATGTTATTATTCTTTGATAGAACATCTGCAAATGTTCTAGTTTCTAACGTTCTTTACCAGGTTTATTTAAATTGTACAGTTTATTACCCCGACATAACTATCTACGGGCTCACCGTAGCCCGTGTTACTTGGAACTTTTTGTTCCAGGTAGCGAATCTTTAACAACAACAACATACCCCGACAACTGACATATTGCATAATGGCAGTTGTATTGTTTAGCTGAGCTGTGGAGGAGGGTGGACGACCCTCTTGTCTTCACTGGTCTGGGGGCTCTGGCAGGGGAAAGTAGGAAAGTGTTGTACTCTGATGAGCCAATTGTAATAGTTTTATTTTATGTCTGGTAAGACTTCGATTTTTTGGGATGATTGTCTTCTAAGCTATCAGTGTATAGTTATATATATTTTTTTTACTTGTAAATCTCGTGTGTAAGTGACATTATTTATTTTCCTTTGTGGGGACTTGGTCATTTTTTCGGGTCATTTGGGACTTTAACTTTTGCACGGAATTTTGACTTTGCCATTTGTCAGTCTAGTTGGGACTTCGTTTTTTGATGGCAAAGTGATTAGTTTCAGTGACTTGTTTCTTGCTAATGTTAACGATAAGAAGATTTATCCACACTTGTTACTTGATTGTTATCAAGTCTCTTGAGACTAATTTTGATTAGTCCTTAGTGACTTTGCTTTTTGAATAACGTCACCATTTATCCACTTTGTCCACAACGTAGACGCACTTAACTTGTCCTCTAGTGTACCCATGTTGTTAAGTTTTGCCACCTGGTTAACTTGGTAACATCTTGCTACAGTGACTAGTACCCTTGAGACCAAAAGTATTATATTATTAACTTTATTGCAGTGTACATCTTGTAAATAACTGTCATGTAGTCTAAGTTCACATCAGTAAACTGGTAAACTGTTGTTTTAGACTTTCACTATGTCCCTAGACCATTAATGTTGTGATTTGCTTGAGGCCAAGAGTGCCAGTCACTGAGTGGGGGGGGGGGGAGTGTATACCAGGAGCCTTACTTGCGGGTCATGACAAGTGGCATAAGTATTTTTATATTTTGTCATGATGAACATTCACGCCCTGATGAGTTACCAAACTACCTGTTTTGGGGAAAAAATATATTCAATTATTTTTCATTCTCAAATTACGTCAATTTTTGGCCATACGGCTAAATTCAGACGTAATTTGTAAGAGGACGGGTTCTCTTTGCAAAGAGAATGGAAAGGAATTCGAGGCAGAGGAAAGGGAAGAGAGAGGCAGATAGAATGGGAGGGAAATAGAGGCAGAGAAAACTGGAAGAAGGAAGAGAGGCGGAGAGAACAGGAGGGAGATAAGCAAAGGGAACGGGAGGCAAGGTGAGAGAGAAACAGACCCATAGCCCGTCAAGTTTATTATATGGGATCTTAAAGGTATTCTCGCTAGCTATAGTTAGCTTTTATCCTACAGTGGAGGATAAAAGGTGGATCCTCCCGACCCTACTTTTTCCTAGCCTGGCGGGGAATCTGAAGCGATAGTTCAGACTTGTGGATCTGGATGAGGCAAACATACGGTGAACACCCCTCCTGGGCAAACTTCCCACAGGACGCACCTGTGGGAAGCTTCTATGCATGGAAGCGATAGAAATCCATCAAGGACAACCTCGTCCAAGCAGGTCGGCAACTTGGCGCCCAGAACTTAACAAGGGAGGAACTAGCTAGCACAGCAAAGAAACGTCCAAACCTACCGACGTTGACTTAACCTGATACAGGAGTCCGCAATGAACGCTTGGACAGCCAGAACTTGTGGAGCGGTTGAAGGGAACCACATTTGAAAAAGATAAAATTTCATCAGACGAGGAAAAAAGTAGGGAAGAAATTAAGGGAACTTGTACCTCCTAATGACATTGAAGTTTGCCTTGACTACAGGCACAAATCGATATTTAATATGCTGCATAGTGTGTAGTGAAGACAACGTGTGTATCTCAATCCTGGAATAATCAGTGTTGCCGTATGAGGCTATTTTACACTCTTGTGCTTTGTCTTGCCCTTCTACTCGGTAATTAGACATACGGTCCTCTTCACACCTTACTTACACAAGCTTCTCTCCGAATGTTGTTTTAGTTCGTAGGATCCAGGATTCATCAAGTATTTACGCATCTATTTACGAAAATATCTTTTCTCAATCTTTGGCGGCTTTGTTTACATTTATTAAACAATTTACGAGCATCTACACTTCCCGAGCAAATGTTATTATAAACAGCCTCTTAAAGCTTCAGAGCTTATAAACTGTTAAATATATGTAAACAAACCCGCGAAAAGATATACAGGTTCGTAAGTAGATTCGTAAATTCGTTCTGCCCGAAACGCTGTGCGTACTAGTGGCTTTACAAGATTGTAATTACCATATTATATATCCTCACAATCCCAATGTACCTTCTTGTGTATATATATATATATATATATATATATATATAATATATAATATATAATATATAATATATAATATATATATAAATAAATAAATACATTCTTGTTGCCGCGGTGATGCCACAGAATGAAGTTACTATTTTAGCCCACAGATGTCTCCGTGGCGGCGTGTGGCTGGTGTCCCCGTCAGCTGATGCCACAGTGTATTGTGAACAGTGCGGGAGGGTGTTTGTGTCGTCTCTGGTCCTATCATACCTATACTTTCTCACAGAAAACTTCTTTTGATTTTACTCGGATTCGTTTCTTCATTGACAGGTGGCTGCAGTCTTTCATAAGGTACGTGGAAACTCGAAGTTTATTGTTGTTGTAAAAGAACATTGTCTTAATTTGGTGTTGCGTTATTCTACGTTGATAAGAACAAATTTCCAGAATAAGGATAGGCCAATATTGGTGCAAGAGCTGCTAGGGAACACTAGACGCCACAAGGAGCCTCATCTTGTGTGCAAGTGATAGTGTTATATGGGTGTAAGTAACCCTCACTATACCTTACACTACACCCTATCTCAGAATCACACGAAAACGATTTATGGTTGACGTTAATATTCACGGATTGTGTTTTCTCATGAAATAATTGCTATGCAAAGATCATTTTGCATTGTTTAATGTGTCTGAGCCATTACAGCTGGCGTGTCAATGCACGTGTTTCCCAGCTGTGGCAAAAGCTTGAATAACTTGCCTGGTGCTTGAATAACTCGCTCAGGGCCTCATTCTGGGGGTCAAACTTGAGGCATGACGCTGTCTGCACCTGCAGCAGCCGCTCAATATATTGTATCCTAAGGTAATGTTGGCCGTGAGGCGTGACGCAGATCAGACACACACACACACACACACACACACACACACACACACACACAGGTGTGTAGGCTAGCTAAGCAGCAAAGTAAAAGGGCATGGAGAAACTATAGGAATAACAGGACACTGGAGAGCAGAGAAAGATACCAGAATGCCAGGAATGAATATGTCAGGATGAGAAGAGAGGCAGAAAGACAATACGAAAATGACATCGCAAGCAAGGCAAAGACTCAGCCTAAATTGTTGCATAGCCACATTAGGAGAAAAACAACAGTAAAGGAACAGGTTATGAGATTAAGGATAGGGGCGGAAGGATTCACTACAAATGACAAGGAAGTGTGTGAGGAATTGAATAAGAAATTCCAGGAGGTCTTCACCTTAGAGCAAGGAGAAATTCCAGAGGTAAGTGAGGGAATAGCTAACCAGGAACCACTGGAAGAGTTTGAGATTACCAGTGGGGAAGTAAGGAAGTATTTACTAGAGTTGGACGTGACGAAGGCTATAGGCCCAGATGGAATCTCCCCTTGGGTTCTAAAGGAAGGAGCAAGAGAACTGAGCCTACCACTCTCCATAGTGTATAACAAATCACTGGCAACAGGGGAACTGCCAGATATTTGGAAAGCAGCTAACGTAGTCCCGATATACAAGAAAGGGGATAGACAGGAGGCACTGAACTACAGGCCAGTGTCCCTAACCTGCATACCATGCAAGCTGATGGAGAAGATTGTGCGAAAAAAACTAGTGGAGCATCTGGAGCGAAGGAACTTTGTAACATAGCATCAACATGGGTTCAGGGATGGCAGGTCCTGCCTCACAGGGTTACTTGAATTCTACGACCAGGCAACAAAAATAAGGCAAGAAAGAGAAGGGTGGGCAGACTGCATATTTTTGGATTGTCAGAAAGCCTTTGATACAGTGCCACACAAGAGGCTAGTGCGAAAGTTGGAGATGCAGGCTGGAGTGAGAGGGAAGGTACTCCGGTGGATAGAGGAGTACCTAAGCAACAGGAGACAACGAGTCTGTGTGAGGGGTGAGGTCTCAGATTGGCGAGACGTCACAAGTGGAGTCCCGCAGGGGTCAGTCCTTGGACCTATACTGTTTCTGGTATATGTAAATGATCTCCCAGAGGGTATAGATTCGTTCCTCTCAATGTTTGCCGACGATGCAAAAATTATGAGGAGGATTGAAACAGAGGATGATAGTAGGAGGCTACAAGATGACCTGGATAGACTGAGTGAATGGTCCAACAAATGGCTGTTGAAGTTCAACCCGAGTAAATGAAAAGTAATGAAACTAGGCAATGGAAACAGGAGGCCAGGCACAGGATACAGAATAGGAGATGAAGTACTTAATGAAACAGACAGAGAGAAAGATCTAGGAGTTGATATCACACCAAACCTGTCTCCTGCAGCCCACATAAAGAGAATAACGTCTGCGGCATATGCGAGGCTGGCTAAC